CCCCCCCTGCTGTCGCACGCACGTGTTGGTGGAGCCTCTGTTTAGAAGACAGAGGCCCACCGAGGCCGCCCACTCCTCTACGGCCTCGCCCCTGGCGTCCGTCCTGGGGGAACCCCACGCAAGGGACTTTGCGTTGAAGTCCCCCAGCACAAGGACGTGCCCAGACGCTAGTCGCCGTATCGAGGTCTCCACGCTGGTTAGGAAAACCTCGAAGTCGTTCAAACTCCGGTTGGGGGAGAAATAGACACCATATATGGTGATCCCCCCCCACTCGACGGCAACATATCCAGTGCCCTTGTCTCTTAGCGACAAGGGCGGGGAATGAGCCGTCGTGGAACCGACGACTGCCACGGAGCCGTCCCAGTCACCCATCCAGTTTGGACGGGGAGGGACAGAATAGGGCTCCGCGACTACGGCAACACCTATCGACCACTGTGCCATGGTTTGCAGGAAGAGATCCTGCGCCGCGGCACAGTGGTTCAGGTTCGTCTGGACCAGGAGGTTGGAGACTTGATCCATTACTGGATCGTCTCTACAACCTCCTCCATGGGCGACGACGTCGACGCACGAACTACATCGGAGGCAGCCTGGGTCGACTGGCTAACCCCCGACGTCTGCCGAGAACTGCGGGGAGGCTTGCAGCCTCTCTGCCCCATCTGGTGATTGGCGGGCTTATTGCCCGCCGCACACACTGGGCAGTGAGGGGCGGCAGAGCATTCTGCCGCCTTATGCCCCGGTTGACCGCAGCGGAAACACAGTCCGCCGCAGTCAAAACAACTGTCGCACTTGACGCGCGTGTGTCCCGATGCCAGGCATTTGTAGCATCTCATCGGTCTCGCCGCCAGGACTGTGATCCTGGCGCTCACGAAACCGATGAGCAGCCTGCCGGCGTCGGCCAATACTTTGGCCGACGCTACGGGACAGCTGACCCACACGGCGCCAAGCCCTCCTGGACCGGGGCGGATGGTGCCGACCCTGACGTTGTCCGCGCTGCACCCCGTCTTCTCCCGGATTACAGCGCGGACATCTTCGGCCGTCACTGAGTCGTCCAGGCCCGAGATGCGCAGTTCCGCGCACTTGGTAGGCCTGGCGACCCTGACACCATCTGTGGCTGCAAATATTCCCCGCAGCTTCTCAGCGAAGGAGTCCGCCGTCTTTGCGCCTTCAGCCCCAGGGAACTCGAGAACTCGAGCTCCCGTCTGGGCGAGGCGCATCCTGACCCCCACCGTCCCAAACTCGTTGGCGAGGCTGTCCCGGGCCTTCTTGAAGACGGCCGCATAGGACAGCCCGCCGTCAGCCGCCTCCGGGGACACGGTCACCACTACAGCCGCGGTTTTGGGCGGCTGCAGCTTCCGCGGCCTCTTTGCAGAGGCCGTTGCCACCGGTGGCGAAGGCTGGGCTTGGGCTGCTTTTTGGGCAGCCTTTCTGGCCCGCCTTCGGGACTTCTTGGAGCCCCTCGCCTCCTGCCAACCCTCGTTGGAGGGGGCAGGTGCGGAGGGGCCCGGCAGGGGTGTCGGAGTGGGGAGCGGAGGGAATGCCACTCCGCTCCTCGGCGCCGTTTTAGGCCCCGTCTTGGCCGGCGCCTGGGGATGTGCCTTGGCCGGCGCCTTAGCCGGTGCCTTGGCCGGCGCCTGGGCCGGTGCCTTGGCCCCCCTCCTCGTCGGCTTTTGTGGAGCCGATGGAGTAGGGGCAGACGCCGCCGCCGCGTAAGAAACGCGGCCTCCCACAACGGGGAGCGCGGTCGGAGCGGCGGCCTTAGGCCGCTGTGCCGACGCGAGCGGGGGGCGCATAATCGGCGCAGGAGGCAGTCTCGCCTCCAGGCCAGCCAGGCGTCCGTCCAGCATATTCCCAACTGCGATGAGGATTTCTCGCAGTTGGGAGTCAAATGCCCCTGAGTTGGTGGTAGGGGCAGGCTGGGACGCGGACGGGGCTTCCCGCTCGGGGAGGTTCGCCTGGAAGCGGGCGAACTGAGCGCTCAGCTCGTTCACCCGCTCCGTCAGCTTCTTGTTGGCCACCTGCAGGCGAGAGACGTCGCCCGCTAGGCCCTCCACGACCTCCGACAAAGCGGAGGAGGAGTCCTTAAGGGCCCTCACAAACGAGCCCTTAAGGTTCACGGATTTGGTGGCCACCTTGTCGATGACGGCCACCGCCGCTTTCGCCCTCTCCTGCACGGACACGGGAGCCTGGGGGGCATTTCCCCCCACCGGCTCCCGAACCTTGAGCAGGAGATCCGCGATCTCCTCCTCCGCTACGGCCTCGCCGTCCACTCGCACGCTCCTGTAGGACTCCGCGTTTGAGAACGCGGAGCCTGACGGGGTCGAGACCGAGGCCGGTTTACGCGCCCTCCCTCGGCGACTGCTTGCCACCTTTGGTGGCATCATTTCGCCGGACGTGTCGGTTTCCACGTCCCCTGAGCGTCCGCGTTTTCGGCTGTCGCTTCGCTCCGCCTCCATGGCCTCCGCGCCATCCGAGGAGACGGCGGATCCGGAACGAATACGATCCGATGCTCTTCGGCTCCCAGAGACCAGCGTCAGACTGACTTCTGGGAGCCCCATCGAGATAGGCGTTCCCGACGCTATCTCACCCTCCGTGGATGACCCATCCACTCCACTGTTCCTCTTCTCCTTCGTATCAGAGTCCGTTTTGCTTGCCTGTTTCTGTTTGGTTTGTATTGGTTGCCGTTTCTTTATATTTTTGTTGTTATGATCCATAATAAATCCCACGATTGGGGGAGAACTAAAGGTCCACCCGGGCAGAGATCCCCCATTACCCGGGCAAGCGTAAGTTTTTAACCCAACCGAGGGGTCCGCAGGTACCTCGGCTTGGAGTGCGCTCGCGACTGAACTTCCCATCAGCCATGCATCCCCTGGCCACGCACCAGAACACGGGATTCGGGGAATTTTTTAGAGAGGTTATCTTCCTCGCGGTCCGGGCGGTTAAGCCAAGACCCTCGCCCCCGATCAGAGCCGCGAGACTTAACCACAGCGCTCTTCTCGGGATTACGATATGCCGACGGTTGACAGGGAGACTACGTCCCCCTGCCTGCTCGGTGGTAGTGTGAGTACACGCCGAGCCCGTCCTCCTTTCTCCACCGCTGTCAGCGGAGAAACTGTGGCCCCTACAGGGCCCCGCCATCAGGTTTTTTACCGAGGTTTCCTCCTCCATGCTCCGAAGAGCGAAGAGCCAGCAGGGCAACCGGCAGACACGCCCACCCTGCTGGACCAGGCCTTGCCCGAGAGCCGATGAACGGCTGCCTCTTCTGCTAGAATATTGGCCGCTGGCGATAATCCTCTCCTCCAAGAGGACAAGGAGGGAACAGTACCATCGCCAGCGTTTCCAAGGTGCACCACGAGGAGGTTTTCTAGCCCGCACCCCACACAAACCCTATACCAACCCGTCTGGCCAAAGTAGTATAGTAGGCCAAAGCCTCCTTTCTAAGGAGAGGCCTATGTCCAGCAGTGGACTATTAAAGGCTGTTGATGATGATGATAAGGTTACTGTAGATTAGTTATCAGTACAGAACAAGATGCTTTGTTACTGGTACACGAATGATATACCTACCGTATTTTGTTTGTCTGTGTACCATTGATTGTTTTATTTGTTTAAATGGTGATTTGATATAGGGTGGACTTTCGTAGCTAAGGTGCTAGTCAAATATATATATATATATATATATATATATATATATTATAATATTTAATATATATATAAATATATCCATCCAAAAGTCTGTCCACAGATTTACAGATTCTCCTAAACTCCTCTAAGTAAATGATAATTTGCATCCAATGATAACGTCTAAAATATTTATATAGACCCACTGTCTTTTGATTCCAAGTCCAACACTTTCCATTTATTAAACTGATTAAACTGCGTTGATTCTGCCGCATTTTAAGATATTTATACATAAATTACAATGGTCATCAGCATCATCAGCCTATCGCAGTCAACTGCTGGCCATAGGCCTCTTCCATTGCACGCCACTTAATTTGATTTTCGCCTTCTCGCATCCAGCTCCTGCTAACCATCTTGCGCAGATCGTCACTCCACCTGGCCTGTCCTGGTCCTACACTACGTTTACCTAAACTCTCCACTCAAGAACTCGTTTACCCCAATGTACAATAATCATATTCAAATGTTGAAGCATTTTTCATGTATCAAACTGCGCTTTATTATCTAGTACGAGTACTGAGAAGTGACTAATTAGTTAATAACAACAGTACTACGTAAATATGATAATGGCCGCTTTGTTTATTTATGATGTTGATACATTTCCGATACATAACATGTTATATAGTTAATAATATTGGTTTAGTGGGCTTGTACTTCAAACTTCGTATGTCACAGTCATTCGTGAGATTGACTGGGTCCTCAGGCCCAAGTGTGAGTTTATTTTACATCTACTCGATTGTCACGGTGACCACGTTCGGCGCTGAAATTGTCGTGCTTTTGAAATCGTCACCAACCGCAACGCTAAACGCGCTCGCTCTGTCGAGAGCGAGGGATAACTTTTAAATAAAAATCACTGACTTCAAAACGCCTACATCATGGTGAATTGTAAAAAAAACTGTATTATTCATTCCTTTATCAACACCTTTAGGGGTGTTATTTTTTATTTATTTATTTATTTATTTTATTTATTTCATTTTAAGAAGGCTTACTGACTAATAACAAACTTTGCTTTTCTTCGAATTTAAATGACATAACGGGAAGTATCATCATCTCAGCCGAAAGACGGCCACTGCTGGACATATGTAGGGCGGTCTTGTGCTACCCGTATTAAACGGCTTCACTCGGACCCCCTTGCAGTGCTTTAGGCGCATAATGTCCAATTCGCAAAATTTCCAGCGGTCGCAGAATGTCCAGATCGCAGGATGGCCAGTTCGCAGAATGTCCAGTCCTAACAACTAAGCAGAATCATTTCCCGTTTTTTTTTATTATTCCGTGCAAAGAGAACACATATGTGTTACAAACTCTGACAAATACATTTTCTATTTCAGATGAAAATGACGGAGATATATGACGTGACGGATGCTGACACTGACGCGGTACAGTCTCCAATGGAGCGGGACGTCAACAAGCAGTTGGAGTTCGATAACGACTGGAACTCTGAATTTATTCCTGACAGTGGTGAGTATTATTTTTGATAGATAAGTAGAAGTAGCACTAGGTGAGAACAAGTATGAAAATACATCTGAAGAAATACGAAAGTACAGCCTGTCACCCTCAGTCCTTCGCTTATAGAGGACGGAGGTCGTTCTGCGACCTCCGGCGCCTGAGTCGTCTTCGGTACCTGGCCCATGCCCGAGCTCCGCCATCTCCTTCGTAAGCATGACTTGCTCGCAGAAGGAGACGGCAGAGTTCCACGCATTCTCGCTCCGTACCATGGCCGCAATCATGTTACCGAGCGAGAGAACTCCAACTCCGATGACCGCCATGGATGTCAACCTGTATTAGAGAGTCCCGTGATGCCTCTCGAGCCAACCCTCCATAACGGGTCTTACCGCCGCGATAATGGCGTGCCCGGCGCTCGGTTGCCCAAGTCGTTCCTTCCACTCCTCTACGGGGACCCTGTTTAGTTGGAATTTGTGATCCTCGATTTCTCGAGTCTCAGGACGCCGACCCGACTCCCGCGCCTCCTTGCTCCACTGATACAGAGCCACAAGGGCTCTCGCCTCCAGGTCTCACGGTAGAGTTCCGGCCAGTAGAGTTCCGAAAGAGATCGTGTGGTACCCCCTTATGACCCTGAGAGATCGCACTGAAGGTTAATACTTCACAGATAAAAAATGTTTAATAGGAAACCATAGTGAAGCAAACTACGACACCTATTGTTTTTTTTTTTCAGACGACTTAGACATGGAAGCAATGGATGACGACGCTTTAGCCGACAGGAATATATTTTCCGATCCCGAGAGTGAATGGAATGTGCGTCGGTCGTACTCCGCCTCCGACAGCGATGGTGATCAGCCCGAGGCCGACCGGAGAGGGCCCTATATCGAGTTAGCTTAGCATTCGACTTGTCATAGACGAAAGTCCATTATATACCTGCACAGGCTGCCGCAGCGGAGAGCCACGGCTTGGCCAACTTTGATAAAATACTTATATTAAAGCAGAATTATATCAGACTTCAAACAGCAACAGGTGTAAGGCTGTGATGATGTAGACTTAACACCCGGTATACACGTTCAACAGTCAACAATGTGCGCGTTAAGGTCGTATGGAACGCAGTGATACTTATTTCAGAACGAGGGGTAATAATTAAACTATATCGTTTTCTGCTATTTTCCTATCAAATAAACAACAAACAATATATCTAACAATATACTTTGTACACTTTGTTATCTCTATTTTGAGAAAGATTATTAGTATAGATTATTTTTTGTAGATAAAGGAATCATAGACAATAGCAGAACAGCAATTAAAACCTATTAATTTGAAGACCTTACTTGCATATCGTTTATCATTTATGAAAATGTGTCCATTAAGCTGAAGATACCTGAATGGCATTTGTTTTCAAATTAAATCAGCTGACCAAGCACTATCCTTTTTTACCATAAAAATACATCATTTATTTATTTAAATAAAAATCGATCTCATTTAGATAAAATTATCTTATATATAAAAAAGTGTTATTTACAATATAAACCATATTAAATAAAAAATCACAAAACATCAGAACTTTTACTCTACACGTGACGTGACTGGCGTGACTGAACACGATCACTCTAAATTCAAACCTTAAAACTGGTGTTTTTGAAAAGTAAAAAAAAAGCATACTAGCATAATTGCTGGTGATGCTCCAAATGATTATATGAAAAAAAAAAACAAAAAAAAAAAAACAAAATGGCGATAGAAAATTAAAAAGAAAACAATAAGTTTGTGGTCACTGATTATTGAGAATAGAAGGAGAAGTTAAGAAACTGTCTGTAGAGCTTGTTAAGAAACGCTATTAATTAATGATATTAGAACATTCTCCTGGTAACAATGTGATAACAAATCGTGTTAATCGTGGCCGTTTATCTACTAGAGATATTATTATAATAAAATATGATATTGTACCTATTCCACGATCCAACTTCGTGCCTTGTATCCTTTGTCGAGTTAGTTGTGTTATAGATTGTGGATTGTTAGTTTTAATGTGTAAGAGATTAGAAATTGACTGAGATGACATTGAAACTGGTTTGAGACTAGATTATTATTAATTTATACATATTACAATTCAGTTTTTTTTTCTCCGTCAGTTTTTATTCAGCTTTTACTGTAAATATATATTTTCTTCAAAAAGTTATCAAGAACCTATATTATAGTAATACTTGAGTAATCTGTAACTTTTAACTCGCTATAATCGGAAAGAAAAACAAGTGGGCGGCCATTTTTGTTTTGCAATTGTTGCCGTCTGTGGAAGAAAGTTATGAGCGTATAGATTACAGGCTTCATACATATACAAAGACAAAAAACAGACAATTATAACTTTCAAGATAAATCACACACCTCTACTAAATAAATTCTTTAACATCGACTACTGAATCTATTTCTTTAGTTGACTTGACCCAACATTGTCGTTCTGTGAAAAATAACTGAAAAGGTTTATGTATAACTGTGATAAACTCACAAAAACCTTTCTCTAACTATTACTTGGAAAAAATTACCCGCTCTATTTTGAATATTATATAATCAGCAAATTAACACACTTAACCATTATTTTTTCATGCATATAAAGTAATTTTGATATCCCACTGGCCTGTTCACCGCTAAACATAACGTACTTGTGTCCTCAGATCTGTGATATAATAACATTAATATCCCAAAATAAATACTAAACTTCAATACACAATACAATGTTTTAGTAAACACATGTAATGTTTAGTTTATTAAGTAAAATATATATTTTAAATAGACACTCTATCTACAAGTGTATTCTATATTAATACATGTGTAATCGTTCTATTTAAAAAGGTTTTTTCCTAAAATATATTTCTGTTAACGTTACATCAGAAACCAAAAAAAAACACTTCGTTCGACGTATTGTTTAAAATATTAAAAAAAAAATAGGTGACGGTGTAAATGCGTTCTAATTATTTAATTTTAAATTATTTGTAAGGTACCTACAGTGGTGAAGTGAAAAAATAAAGTAATGCTAGAATCACACAAATAGGCGCTATCTATAATGCCGTTATCTATTGATAGTGTCCAAAATGCTATGTACAAAAAATGATATCTTTCCTTTATGGTATGAGCATAAATATTACAATGGTCCGATGCTCTTTAGTCAATGGTTGTTAATATATTTTTCATTTCAGCACTTTACAAGTAACTCTAATGTGATAACAACATTGTATACAATTATTATCGGTTTAAATTGAGTATTTCGTCTAAGATGAAATTCTCATTTTTAAGAAAGTTTTTTTGAATATGTTAACAAAATTATTGGTCTCTTGCCACATGACAGCCATCACTTGTTTAGTAAATTACATGTAATTATTTTTAAAAGTCATAAAATGTTACCAAATGTTACCCATTATGATTTGTTTGTTGTTATTGTTTAACACACAAACTGTTGTTACATATATTTTGTTTAATTTGATCATCTGTTCGTCAGTTAGCTCTTCGTGGGTCAACACACGCCAATTTGGCATCGCTGATCGGCGACTTGAGATATCTTCAATTCTGCATCAAGTTCACTTGAGTTTGTAGGTTTTTTTGTTAATGTGACGAATTTTACTATTACCAAATATCTAATGACAGTGGACACTATAGGCTTGTGTCCAGTAATAACAAATTGCTTTGTTTATAGTTTCAAATTATAAATGATGAGACATAGATAAGAAAAAACAGTATATTTCTCATAAAAGTTAAAGATTATTCATATTTAAAAAAAAAAATTCGTACAAAATAGGCATTAAGTCACGTAACAGCGAACACCAATCAGAAAGTGTTACGTCACGCCACGCAAAACATTGTTGTTGTTGACATTTTCATACACAGAGCAGGTTACTCCTTATTCATTTTTTTGAAAATAGTTGATACTGGACACAGATGTAAACAGTTTTATTTCGCACACTGTGACGTCATTCAAGACGCTATGACACTATTCAGCGTTTTCGAAGGAAATTTAAATTCTTTTTTTAAATACAAAATACGTAATGTAATTTTCTTTAAAATATAGTTTTTTTGGGATAAAATAGATATTAAAGTATAAAACTAACCAAGTTTTCAAATTAAGTCAACTAGCCTATTATGTCATAAGATAAGCTACTAGAACGAAGGTCGTCGATGCCAGAATTTTCGTGTGTTATACTTGTAGATTTACAAATCGAGAACTTTTTTGGCACAGTTAAAAGTACAACACTACAAAAGAGTGTAAGAGAAGCACAGCTGGTTCAAGAACCGTCCTTAAGCCACTTACACTTAAAGATGATTTTTGATGAGCTGAGCTATACAAAACTCCTCAGCTTATACCAGAGTAACTGACTCCTTTGTTAACATAATATTGACGTTATGTAAAATAAAAATATTACATATTCAAAAACTTTGTCCTACTAATAATAAACAGGGAATTTTATAAGTATTGATTGTTATACATTTTATCGTCTAGTTGTAATTAGTTTTATTTGTAAATACTTTTACTCAGATAACTTAAAAAGGAATCGCTGTTAATACGAATTAACATGTATTAAATATGTATAAATTATTTGTTTTAAAATTTTGCGTTCTATCTGTTAATGTTTGTTGCATCCAATGTTAATTTGTATTTCGGCGATTCTTGCATGTTAACGGTTTTATATGACTGTCACAAATATTTGCAATAAAAGCGTTAAAAATAACTTTGCTTATATTTATTTTTATGTAATTCTTTTACATAATGTGTACTTAAAACCTGATTAGTGTGTCAATATTTTCATCATTCATGTCCACTGCTCGACATAGGCATCCCTCAATGACTTCAAAGAAATTCAATCAGAAGGGAACTGAAGTAATCTTGGACTTGGAGAGTTCAGTGCAGGCCAATCGCAACGAAATATCACGGGATATGAATTACGATGAACGCGGTCACCGTGACGGTTGAGTTGATGGGAAATAATCTTAAACTCAAACTCTTTATTTCATAAAAAAATTAAAATTGTTTGAAATGGTCTTCTATGTAGACTCTAAAGTAATAGATCAACACACACAAAAGCAACAATCTCTGTTTTGTCAAATAGTTAGCAAATAAATTTAACAAAAATCAAACCCAAACAAAATCTATGATATGCCTGTGCCGATCTACAACCGCCCGTTTCCAAGGGGTTGAGCCTTATGAGAAGAAAGGGCAAACAAACTCATGGACTAAACTATAAACTTAGATTAGGCCCTCTGAACTTTAATGAGACTTGGACTGTATATCGTGTTCTGAAAGAAAGAATAAAACCTATTTTGCTTGTATGCTCAACGAGGTAACATTAAACATCTTGGTATGTGAAGAGAATAGAGGCTGCTGTTTATCCTGAAATTTTATGAAAGTATTTAGTGGGACAAATCTTCGAAAGGCTAATAATGAACTTTAAAACTATACTAACTACTTATACAGCATATAATGTCAATATTAAGCAACCCCGCTGAATACTGTTTTTGGTTTGGTAGAATTAATTTGAGGAACTGTTACAAGTGTTGGTAAGCCCATTTATCCAGGAAGGCTATAGGCTACCTATATAAGATTAGAAGTCCGTGTGGTGACAGATTAAGAATACGGAACGTCACCACCCCTATTCATCCCGTGGGTGTCGTAAGAGCCGACTAAGCAAACTACGCAGGATAACAGCACTTCAAAGGGAAGTAAAACTTGAAACAAACCCTATATTAACCCGTCTGGCCAGCGTGGTATAGTAGGCCAAAACCTCCTTTCTAAGGAGAGGCCTATGTCCAGTACTGGACTGTTATAGGCTGTTGATGATATAAGATTACGCTATCACCAATAGGAGGCCAGCGTCAAAGAAGAATGTTACAAAGACGGGGAAAATTGGTTCTTTTTTAAAATATGCAGGTGAAGTTACGCGGGTCAATTAGTGTGATTTAAATGGCAAAACCAAAAAATCGCAAAATCGATCTAAGTGGCGTGCAATGGGAGAGGCCTATGTCCAGCAGTGGACTGCGATAGGCTGATGATGATGATGATGAAATGGCAAAACTGCATAAAAGCGACCGCTAGAAACGAGCAGCAAGCAACAAAGGAATGCACTGTATGTTTGTAAAGTCCCCCGCGACACAGGATATATTCCTAATGCGTTGTTTAAAAAAAATGATTTCATAACTCGAGAGGAAGGTGAAATGCAATATTCCTTTTTTTTTATACGACTGCTCGCATACTTTCAATAAATCCTGTGTCGCGGGGGACTTTACAAACATACATGAAACGGGCACAAAGAACGCTCAGACTCAGAACAACAATTTGTTGATTGTCCCATGTGGGGATTGAACCCACAACACTCAGTGCAGTAGGTGACCGCTTAAACCACTACGCCATTCGTAATATTCCTCTTCTCCTACGAATCATTTAGACTTTTTATACCTGATAATAAACTACTAACTTTTTGTTAGAACTGACAGTTGGGCTCGATTTATAAAAAATAAAAGCTGTCAGTCTCATTATTCATACTACATTCTAATTTTAAACAGACACGGTATTTTAGAGCAACTATACATCAAAAAATATTAGGTATTGAATTAAAAATTACGTAAAGCGGTATTACGAGAAGAAACCGCGCTCTGCAAGCGGTGAAACTTATTATTTAATGTTGTTTTGAATTATATTTCATGAATTATGGTTGGCAAAGGTAGCGAACAGAACAGTCGGATATTCCATCAATGTTATTTAAACTGTTGCAAGCTGCAGAATTTGACACCACTCAACTATGTTATACCATCTGGAAATGGTAAAGTTTTGGACTTCTGTGTGGACAGAATTAAATATATAGAATGGCCCGCCATTCTCAACGCGCTCAGCTGTGATCTGAGTCTACATTATGTTTCTATAAAATGTCGACAACAAGTGAAAACTGGTAAGTTTTGCATTCGCATTGTCGTAAATTTGGATTACAATTTTGTTTGTTAGCCAAGGTATCGTACATCTGTTATTTTGTGCCATATAATATTGTATGTAGGTCAGAGAGTTATGGCCACGGATAGAGCAAATAGAGCAAAAAAACAAAGGTATCGTAATTATGTAGATATCCTGAAAAAACGCGTGACAATTTGCGGAGTGAAAAGGGGGGGGGGGGGGTTATTAAACTCCTCCCACTTCACTTGTTTTCATCTACCCATTAATATTAAATCTCGCATCGTTCTATGTCGATATTGCTACGTAGTTTAGCTATCTCACACTAGGTGTATGATGTAAGACGACGTCCTCAGAATTTCCTGAGAAAAAATCTTTTGCTTTTGGTCAGGATTTCTTCGAATTATTTCCTTCAGTACTTTTTCCTACGAATATTAATTGCATGGTCAGATCTTTTTCTGTCAAACAAGGAGTTTTTATTGTAACTATCAATAGTCCAAAAACATCGATTGGCGCGAAAATGAGAAAACAATGAATATTCGTATCAGAATTACAGATTCAAATCATTTCAGTAAATAATTAATAGAATTTTATGCGGCGGAATATCATTAAATGCTGGTGTCTCAGAAGGCTGTGTGCTATAGTCCACACTGTTTCTTCTGCATATCAATAACATGTTGCAAACTAGTATCATCCATTGCTATGCGGATGATAGTACGGGAGATGCCCTTTATACAGGCCGCCCAAGATTTGGCGGAAAGTTGCGACCGGTACTAGCCCGAAAATTTCCTTGGAGTACTCTCCATGATATATAATATGGCAAATGAGAGTATAGAGAAAGATCTCTACGTAATGCGAAGTGATCGAGCCGATCGGATATTTTTAAGCTATAGACGATTCGAGTCGCTCTTTGTTGGATGCGGTCCAGAGGCAGAAGCTAGTACTGAGGTACCCCCCTGCATAGAGCAGGTATTCCATTTGCGGCCGGACTTGCCTCTTATAGAGCGGTGGGCCGGACTGAAATACTGCCTCGACATCGAGCTTCTTTGAAGTCAATTTGACCTTACAGTCTAAGTGACCCCGAAACTAGACTGCTCGCTATGTCGATGCCTAGGATTTCAATAATGGCTGAGGCGAGGTGATTCGACAAACGCTATCTTCTTTGCGGTAAACGTCTTGGGTTGTCTTTTTGGTTTAAAGTGGTCTAGATTTAGTCGATCCCAATCTGAACCTCCGCTAAGGAAGTTTCAATTTCAGACAACTTTGTTTCCACGCCCGATGACATTTTCCCGATAAGGAGCGGTCGGTTTATAGGGCATTGCCCGTTCTATTATCTGCACAGAAGATATGCAGAAAAGACAGTGTTGGTGATAACACAGCCTTGCGTGACACCAGCATTTATGGATTTCAAGTCGGAGCAAGCACAGTCAACGTCTACCTTACTGCTTCTGTCCGCAAGAAAACTGGTCTTGGTCTCGATCGCCTGTGCCCACCCGTGTGTTAGAAAGATGAACATCACCAGCTGAGTGCCCGCGGCCACACAATATTGTCAGTCATTGAGTAGGTGGTGATCATCTAAGTACCGGTGGAGCTATCGATTATGGATTTCATAATCTTAACTTGATTTTTGGGTGAACCGGATTACCGGCACACAGCTTCTTCATCACGGTATGGTCGACGGTACGTTTCCCCCTTCATCCAAAGTCGAGTTGGAGGCAAAGAGTTCGCCTAGGAGATCGGCTTTCTCCTTGGCATAACAGGCCAACGAATTATCTCCCATCTGCAGGGGTGGAAGGGATTGGCTACAGAACTACTTTTACAAATTACGCCTCCTTTATAAATTAAGTATAAAATTATTTACATCAAAACATCTATCCGAGACGTTTTACACGATAAAATATAACTTCATCATTTTCTTCTTAATACAAAAACCAAAATTGAAATGATACATTGACATCACCACAAATAATTTTTATATTAATATTTCTTATTTTTTTCATTTTAATTTAAAAAAGACCGACACTCCCGCAATAGGAATATATCCTGTGTCGCGGGGAACTTTACAAACATACATGAAACGGACACAGATAACACCCAGACTCAGAACAACAATTTGTGGATCACACAAAGTGTCGTCCCATGTGGGGATCCGACCCACAACACTCAGCGTAGTAGTGAGCGGCGTGGCAACCGCTTAAACCACTACGCCATCCGTGCAGCCGGTTAATATTTTGTGACAAAATGGCAACCAAAGAAGAAGAAACAATAGAATTATAGTTGAAAAGTTGCATTTGCATACTATATTAATTAATGTTTTCCAGCGTTAATTGTCAGGTTTTATATTCATTGAGTATTTTTTTATCGTTAGCTCAGACGAAAATCTGCGATTTGCATCTGTAGTTACTTGCCACATCTCTCCGTCGTTAAATATTCTATGCAAGTTAATTGTTATATGGTACTTCATATCAATTTAACACCTAGTCCCATTAAAACAGGGATTAAAATCATTCAAATGCTCATTTCAAATTGTTCATTAGACGATGACCGGCTGGAGGCCAGCCGGTCATCGTCTAATGGGCAGGGTGGCAGCACGTGACCCTTTCCTACCGACCGACGCAGGTTTTTCTGGGCACGTCTGCTTAGGGAACCCTCTATGAGGTATCTGGGGATCGCACTGGGTTGGGATAGTAGGACTCGAGAATTTGGACCAGAAATCCCAACTTTGTCGCGTCTTCATGGAGGAGTGGAGGGAAAGACTTCGGCAACCAAGTGCCGCGCACTATAGCGGTGGTAAGGCCCGTTCTGAGGATTGAGTCGAGAGGAAACACGGAACCCTCTCATATCGGCTGACGCAGGAGATCACCTGTATCCGCTCCGTAAGGAACCAACGCCCGGGTGCCACCATTACGGTAACCAAAGCGGAGTGGACACGGCCCTCCTCACGCCGCTGATCGTCGATCGCCGATTGGATTATTGCCTAGGGCGCTCTTGATACTTAATCTCCCTCTGCTGGTATAGCAGACTAAAGATACTATTCCGAATCCAGCTGTAAACAGTAATTATTACCCGGCTGCCAATATTTAAACATATTCATTAAGTACTATATTTGAAATTCTGTTTTACAGTTCTAGAACACATAGACTGCGAAAGACTAGCGAAGACTGTAAACAAACGATGCGTCTTGCTCACGAACTTTATGCTTACCAACTTAATAGAAGCTATTACACAAATGCTATCTAACACTACATTGTTGACGACACTAATACTAGAAGGAATACCACTGAGGATACCTTACTTGAATCCTTTATGTGAGGTAAGTAACTACCATTATGTCGTATCAGCCAGTGTGTAATGTCAGCCATTGAAATCTTCCATTAAATGTAATCCACATCAAGTAAGTTTTGTTTTGAAGATCAGCTTATTTAGTTTAGACCTTTCAAACAAATGTAATAAAAAAAACTTATTTCAGGAATCCCCAACAGCCCTTATTATATCGCAATTCAGTACACATTCATTAATTTCAATATATTTAAACCGTATTTGTAAAATATGCTATTTAGGATCTGGCGTTTCCTAAATCTAATTCGACATTTTCAAATATGTTCTTGTTATGGTATTGGGCGCAAAATATAAAGTTTATTGCACATCTACTCACTCTCGACGGCGAGCGCGTTTAGCGTTGCGATTGGTGGAAATTTCAGTGCGTGCCAATAGCAACGCAACCTCGCACTTACCCCCAACCTCCACGACCACTACTACGACTACCACCGGTCATGTACTCAAGAGACACTAGCACGTTGCCGCTCTTTGAGTCCCCTCCCCCAGGATAAGAGGGGAAGGGTGAGGCCTCCGGCATTTATTTATTTATATAACTTACTGCACAAATTGTACACAGACGGACTTAATGCCCAGGACATTCTCTGCCAGTCGACCTTCGGGTGATGTAGAAAAATGATGCGGTAGGTGCAAGAGAAAACAGAGAATTTGACTTATTATTTATATTAAATTTACTAATTTAAGGTATATATATATTACATATAGTGTAGTACACTATATATACACTATAAATAAAATACTATATTTATTACTACATATATATAGAGGTCTCAAGTATACACATACAATACATAAATACTCGTATACACAAATATGATACGATTTTCATGTATTTAACATGAATATCGAAAATACTCCTATAAGTCTAGCGTTTGACCTTTCTGCCAACTCATTTTGAAGAAGATCTACTTTCTTCTTGAACATATAGTTATTTAGTGGACATCCTCATTTCAACTGGAAGCGAATTGCAGAGGAGAACTAACTGTACATAGAAGAAAGAATTGATGAAGTTGGAAGTGTGAGGTGGGCAAAGAAGAAGCATATTATTTGTTGTTCGAAGATTACGATATCATCTCACTCACTCGGTAAAAAGCAAAGCAAAAATTGCTTAACACCTATCTTCTGTGAGGCTGTGATGACACTCCAGTCCAGTAGGTCCAAATTTGCCGACGCATGACTTCTCATGTAGTGTTTGTTTGAAATTAGATATTTGTAATATATTTATTGTTGCAGACGATCCTAATAAACAATTGTCTGCAACACTTACATTTAAGTCAGTGTTTGATCGGAGACGCGGGCTGCCTGGCAATCTGCAAGTCCCTTAGGTGTTTACCCAACATCCTTACGTTGAATCTCTCTGGTTGTGAACTAACACCACTCGGTGCAGAGTATATTGCGGATTTAGTCAAGGTAGGTACTGGAATACACATGTTAAACCAAAATTAGTCACCGATGATAAACGCCCGTTTCGTACCTTGCTGTGAAGTGCTTAAAAGTTTTTATAAAATCAAATAGGGAAATTTAAGTCATGCTCGGCGTTAGAGGTTGGAATGATCAGATACCGAATACTATAATAAATTATTAACTTTATGCCTCTGCCTATGCTATAGTACCTACAACAAAATTAACATATGCCCAAGTCAAAAGTACTAAACTTTTTAATTTTGATGAAGTAACCTTTTTAAAATGCTCGTTTTGAAACTATAATGAAAGATTCCAACAATTCCAATCCCATCGGCATCGGAAACAGGTACCAAGCTATTGGTGGCTAGGGTTTTAGAGACAGATACTTCCTCACATAACGTGTCATATCAAGAAGTAGGTGTCTGTCTTGATCGAGGCTCTTAGCAACCAACCCAAACTCAAACCAAATTTATCTTTTTCAGCTTTTAAGAGATTGTCATCTTAAGAAATGGTGATGTCAACAATCATATATCAGGTTTATTGGCAATAATAGTCCTGACAGTGGTAATAGAGTAATCTGAGTACAAAGTGGCACGACCATTTTCAAGAACTAGGGGTCGGGCACATATCTGTAGTACAGTAACTCCACCGTGACAAGGTTATTTTTGTTTCTTACGAATTTCATACTAGATGTTTCGTTTGCAGTATCAAAAAATACACAGGTACAGTGAGAACTGGACGCACACTTTGCGCTATCGTCTACCTGATCTAGACACGATGGCGGGACTGCGTAGAATAACAGTGTGTTCCAACCCCGCGATCGGCGACGTCGGCGTCGCTAAATTATTCGAAGTCCTTGCAGATGACTTGTGGATAAAAGGTAATAAATATGTTACCTCTTTGAAATTCATACTAACCGACACACCTACCATTTTTTACATTTATAAATTCCGCTAAAGTCAGGCGTTTTTGGGGGGGGGGGGGGGGTCTGCTGTCGGAATCAAACCGTCAAAGATCGTACGGTATGTTGCCATACTACAATGTAAGTAAAAGAATACGAGAAATGAACATCTAAAAATTATAATTTTGGGGGAAATTGACTTACTGGATAGCTCATTTAAATCATCTGAAATAATAGGTCTTTACCTATGAAATTGCCGTTTTGTATGCAATAAGTGAAAGTACTCATTTTTTCAAACTTTTTTATTTCTGTTATTCGAAGTAATCACCCATGCAATCGACGCATCTTTGCCAACGCATTGGCAGTTGTCTAAATTTTGGAAAAAGTAATAGTCGGTAGGTGCAAGGTCTGGTGAGTATGACGGATGAGGGACAGCTTCCAACCCCAGCTCTTGCAGCTTGGAGACTGTCTGTTGCGCAGTATAATTTAAAAAAAGAAAAAAAAACAAGTTTTTGCCATAACCTTTTCAAGTAAGTATTCTGTGTTATAAGGTTATGTTAGATAATATATCTTTATTTAAGCATTGGACGTCCAAAATTGCTCTCTCACCGAAAAGGCGGGGACTGCCGCCCTGAATATGTTAAAGTCCAATACCACACTGGTAATTCTAGACTTGAGGCACAATGTTGAAGTGACGTGCGAGACCCTTTCAAAAATAAGGACGGTGTTGCGGAATCATGAGAGAGGAACGGTGGATCAGGTATTTGGATAATTAGTTATCTTGATATTCTTAAACTGAGTTTAAATAAATTATGCTTCTTTAGATGTCGACAAATATACCTAATATTTAAATACTAAAATCACTTAGTAATTTATATGAAACCCTAAGAAAGTAGGTGGTGCAGCTGCGTTTTTAGTGGGTTATTAGCAGTAAAGAATATAATTGCGATACTTTTCAAAACTGGTTGTAAATACCCAAGGCAATTTTTTTAATTTAGAATTTCTACCTTTTGTTACGTACTCAACGTAAATTTATTTTATTTACGAATTGTTGTTCGGGTAACCGAATCAACTAATAAGTGAATTAAAAAATAAGTGTCGACATATTCAATTTACAGCTTTCGTGGCTAAGCAGTAGTAGTAGCAGCGGACATTTGAATGATAGACTTAGTAAACCAGTGGCGAACAAGTAAGTTATTATTGACTGTTTCTTATTGTGGATTCACCTATTTAATTTAACTATTCTATTTCTCTTTGACATTTCTTAGACAGGTTTATAAGGAAAGTTGATGTATTTAAATTATCTTAATCGATATTTACCTTTGGGTCATATCATCATCCAGGCTCCCAATAGATTTTCAGTATTTTTCCCAATAGGAATGTTTTGCTGTCCGGTTGTTTTTTTCAATAATGGTAGTACCGTCGCTTACATATAGGTACTAGTATTTTTGTAAGTCCTCCAGCTAAACTGCCGACTTGTTTTCACGTCGGTAGTTTAGTGGGTGTGGTTCTAATCCGTAATCACTTGATCGCAAGTCCGAATACCATTAACTATTACGCTTCTTAATTTGTGTAGGTAGGTATATCTTTAAGGTTCCCTGATGCATCATATAGGATTTTACCATGGGATTTTCACTTTCAGGAATGGTGTAATGAAAGACAAAACTGTGACTAATTTAAGGAGTCCACCTAATAAGAACACCAGTAATAATATAGCAAAGAAGGAAAAGTGAGTCTCTGGACACTACTAGTAGTTTTTTTCCTCTCGTATACGCATACAATACTCTTGGATAATTTGATTTATTCAAAAAGTATCCTAAGGATATCAGTCACATTGAAGTAGTATTTTTGTTAGCCTATTCAACTGCATTTAGCTGTGCTTGTGTTAACAGTGGATCGGTAATGTGACAAGATTTAGATTAGAAGTAGCCCAGCGCCTTGAGCACATTACTTTTGTCCCAATTTTCTTTCAATACAATAGATAAATTCCTTCCACATTAAGATCTGTGGATTTTTATAAACTTACAGTATTATGACTGTCTTAAAATTTTACGGACCTTGGTTTAACTTTCAGGGAATACATCGACAACCTCGAAGAACAATTACAAGAGGAAATATCATACCGACATCAACTCGAAGAGCTAAACTTACAACTCGTTTCTCAAATGAAAGAGATGAAACAACAGCAAGTTAAGATGTGGCTCAATAATGCGGCATCTTCAGGTAAAGAGAAACGAACACAGAAAAAAAATGTATTGTTTGTGCAACAAATCAATCTATATTATCAAATTACATATTATACGATTGTAATACAGATGATGTTACGATAATTGATATTAGGCTAAATAACATGCTTTATTTAAAATCTCATGCTAGGGACTGAGTTTACTTCCTTGCGGTACTCCATCTATGTTTTGACTCTTCATATTATATAAATCTACAATAAGTTTCAATATTCCATTAAAACAGTCGTTATGTTTGCGTCAGATTTCATATGTATGTATATATTTGTGTGAGAAAAATTTGTGGATAGTATAGATACTTTGCTAACTCTAAATATCTATCTTGATTTAGAATCAGAACCTTCGCTCGGAGCAAGTTTCCCGTCAGGTGATGTGTCCACTAGTTCTGGCTCGTCAAATTCTGTCCCTATTGACCAAACAACGTTGTCTTACATACAGCAGGCCTTCAAAGACATCTACTCGTTTATAAAGAGTAACCAGTGCTATGGGTTAGTGTTAAAAATATATTTTTCATTAATCGATGTAAGCAATTCTTTTAGCATTGCTGACGTTAATCGCATAAACAATTTACGGTCATGGCATCCAGGAATGTATGTGACCAATGAGCACATTAGTTAAACTTATACATTTAAGGTAGGCAGTATATCCCCATTAACGCCTGGTGTCTGTCAAGGCATCTAACAAAACCTCCGACCTGCATCTGTAATGTGTTACTGAATTTGTAACGAAGAGAAATGTGAGAATCTCTTCCATCCCGTTGGGTTTCGAAAATTTTCAGACTTTTAAAGTTGATCAAACATTTTTTCTTAGTCAATGTGTCAACGAAAAACCTGTGGCAAATAAAGAAAAAATACCAGAAGCCGCAGAAGAATCACCGAAATCTGTGAAAGAATCTTCAGAAATTAAAGATCAATCATATACAAGCGAGCTGCGCGTTAACGTCGTACCCAAGAGGGCGCAAAGCTCTCACATTAAGATTCGAAACAGTAAGATGGTTAAGAAGATGACAAAATCGGCTCATATGCTAGGAGAAAATCAGTTGAGGGTTGCCGATGAAACCGTTAGTAGTTTTCCGACTTCTTTTATTACAGGAACTATTGTCAAAATCGTTAGAACTTGCCCAAATTAATAGAATGAATTCCAGAAATAACCATAATTTAAGTAATTAATCTTGGCAATGTGCACGCATTTTTCATGCCTAGCGTTGATCATTAAAACATAGCATGTCTTATAAACATTGAAATTTATCCTTTTAAATATTGCTTTACAAGATGGAACAAAATTATTGGCTTATTATGTCGCTTGGGGTGGTAGAGCGCCTGTGTTACAACTTATAAGGAAGATGGTTAGAATTACATGGGGTAAGGTTCAATTAGAATATGCCATTAATATAACTATAAATGTCATAATAGAGCTGTAGGCAAGTACTACGATCCTATTTATAAATTACTTAACATACGTTTTAGAAACCAGAGATGTTTGAGAAACACATGGGTGACACAAGGAATACACATAACGCTGAGCTTGAACTTTTGGATGACATTATTACAGCACAAGTGAAAACAGTAAGTATATTCTGTGACGCACATTTTATATTAAACCCCTCGATTTAAACATATGTTATAGTTTAATTGCGATGGCGTAGCGGTTTAAGCGGTCACCTCGCCAGGAAGTGGCTGCTCCGAGTGTTGTGGTTTCGATCACCACACGGTTGTCCCATCGCCTAGCAATAGGCAGGCTGTAGAACAATGAGACTCGAATTGAGTGTTATTGCTCCAATTACATTATGTTACACCTCTTAAATCGACTTCAAAGAAAAGGTGCCCAATTCCATTGTATATTTGGAGAATTCTATTTTTATTTGGTAAAAGTTGGTGGTAGTATACACACTACCCGTTGCCTCCCAATCAAATTTGGAGAAATAATACTACCCCTAAGGGTGGAGAATGATGGAAAACTAATTCATCATTATATAGACGTATTGTATTTGATAATAATTTTAAGAAATTTAATTATGTCAATCTTGAGCGTTCCGAACTAGACCTATATACAAATATGTATGTATGTAGGAATAGTTCGATCTTACGATGTATACTGCATATAGAGGTATGTTATTAACAAGTAAAATGTCAAAAGGAGTTTATCAGAAAAAGAAGACGATTGCATTGTTTTTATGGATACGAGCTAAAGTATGAAAGAAATATTTAAAAATATCTAAGCGAAAGGAGATCTTGCACAATATACACGTCCCTAATCCTATGCGTGAATGTGCTAACAGAAGGTCAAATCTCGTAATAAAAGTTCGGTCATAATTCAGTTCCGATCAACTTTCCACCTCACAACTTGTCCGTGTGGTGACGGATTAAGAATACAGAGTGTCACCACCCCTATTCATCCCGTGGGTGTCGTAAGAGGCGACTAAGGAAGCGAACTACGCAGGACAACAGCACTGTTGAGAGAAGGAAAACTTGATACAAACCCTATACCAACCCGTCTGGCCAGCGTGGTATAGTAGGCCAAAACCTCCTTTCTAAGGAGAGGCTTATGTCCAGCAGTGGACTATTAAAGGCTGTTGATGATGATGATGAACTATCAAAAAAGGTATTCTCATAGTACAGTCAACACATCCAACGTTAACTGTAATGTGATCATATCGCATTATAGCCAAAACATTGAATAGGTAGATTACCTATTCAATGTTTTGGCTATAATGGTTTGGCTAGTCTTAGTAATACTTTACTATATTATTAGAAAAATAACTGTTGTGACAGTTGCGAGATCGAGAGTTGATCGGAACTGACTTGACGACCCTAACGACCGGATGGCGGCGTAGTGGTTTGTGTAACGGACTGCTATTCCAAAAGTCGCGGGTTCGATTCCCGCTCAAGTCAAACATTTATGTGTATGAACATTATATGTTTGATTTGGTCTGGGTGTTTCTATGTATAATATGTATGTATTTACAAAAAAAAAAAGTATATATGTATTTATATCAGTTGTCTAAACCTCCTTTCTAAGGAGAGGCCTATGCCCAGCAGTGGACTATTGAAGAAGTGATGCTGTGATCAGTTGTCTAGTACCCATAGTACAAGCTCTGCTTAGTTTGGGACTAGATGGCGTTGTGTGTATATAGGTAAAAAATAAAATAAAAAAAATTGTGACCGAACTTTTAATACGAGAATTGGTCTTCAGAGACAGAGTCCATTGTTACCAGCACTGAAACGAATTTTTTTCATGGTATAGAAAGGCAAACGAGCAGACGGGTCTCCTAGGGTAAGTGACTACCGCAGCCCATAGACACCTATAACTCGAGTCTCAAGTGCGTTGCCATTTGAGTCCTCCCCTGAAGAATCAGGGGGACCATGAAGAGTACCAGGGACTTCCTTTCTAGGGTACCTACACCTGGTTCCCCGGCTACTAGTACCCTAGACGGCGTGCGGTTTTTGGTCGGTTCCAGTTAGACGTAACCAAGGGTAGGTGGTATCCGAGGGGATTTCGGCACAGAAAAAAAAGGGGGAACCATGAAAAGCAACTAAAGAATTGCTTAACACCAATTATATGTAAAGCCGTGGTAACACTCGGGGTGGACGGTACATTTATGACGAAGAATGACTCTCCCACGTAGTGTTTGAGTCGACTCTAGTTCTATTTTAAGTAAGAAGTTAAGTATAATTTCTGTTTATTCGACAGAGTAACGAGAAAAGCAGTCCATGCAGTAGCGTGAGTTCAGACACATTGGTCTGCTCTCCTCTAACGCGACGTTCTGTGGATGAACACGAACACGCGGTGACCATCAACCCGCGGGAAGCGTTTTACTCATCATCAGAATCGGATGATGAGTCACAGTGAACGACGTTTTTGTTATTTACATATGAATAACGTTGTGTGTAATTGTAGCTTTATATTGTTTTCTTTATTTTTAATTACTCTTTATTGTGCACCCGAAGTAATATAAAATACTTTTTAAAATAACGGTCTTATCATTTTGATATTTTTATTGAGCAAGGGAATTTTGAGAATTTTAACAATTTTACCTACCTCGGAAACTTTTCACACGACCTCGACATCACCTCACGTATTGCCAAGGTCCAAGCCAACTTCGCACAACTTCAGCCCGTGTATAGCTGCTCAAAGTAAACCTGGCTACACACTGTCGCAGATAAGGTGAACAGAATCTGTAAGACGTGGAGTGAGGTGCGAAGCTCTGGACTGAACGCGTTGGAGGATTACTGTAGATCCCTCTGCCCCTTCGCGGGGATATAGATATTAAGTCACGTGAGTCATTTCAAGACGTAAAATTTAGGGTAACTTGAGGGTGCCAGCGGTGTCTAGGCACGGAGCGCAGACAGTGAAGGAGAGCAGAAAGTCAAGAGCTGAGTAATAAGAAAATATGTTCAATACAGAAGATGGCATCGGACGTCTCTAAAAATGGTGGTTCCGGTTTGTTAGTACATTTCGAAAGAAAGGTACATGTTTTGGGGACAAATTAAAGTTTTACCTGTCAACTTACAAGTTCCAAAGTATAACACTAATTTTCAAATTTTCCCTCGTCCGGGAAAACAATTTAGGGGGAAACGGAAATTTAAAAATTACGATTTATGAATGCCTCAGTGCCATCCCAAACAGAAGAGCTATTCGGGCAGGCATTTAGGGAAAGATTATCATAGAACCAAAACTGTGTAAAAAGAAATGGTGAAGTAGAGTTAATGAAACTGTCTTAATTCACTTAGGAATATTTAAGTATACTTTTATATTAGTAGACTTAATACACCTGTTCATCATCAACAGCCTTAAATAGTCCACTGCTGGACATAGGCCTCTGCTTAGAAAGGAGGTTTAATACACCTGTTTGCGTAGGTGATTTAATCATACTATTTAGTAGACTAAATGTATCTAGACCAATTCACCTAGGGTATATTACAGTTATTTATTTTACAATTTATAATTGCAAATAATAGCTGACAGAAGATAATTAAAAAAAAACTTTAGGATACCCTTAATATGAGGAAATAATTAGGAGGAGGAAAAAGGAATAATTAGCATTTACATCAATTGTATTTATGTTGACGCTTAAAGACCAAAAGCGCTCAGTAAGCGAAAAAAAGTTGTGGCAGCGAAATTCGTGTTGTGGCAGTCACAGATAGAGACGGCGTTATGGCGATCGTATTATGGGTCTTATGAAAACGATGACAGCTAATTGAAATTAATGGTATGGGTTGTATGAAAAACGCGCACAGCGCATAATTTATTTTTTATGTTATAGGAGGGGCAAACGAGCACGCGTCACCGCATGATGGTTAGTACCTACCGCCGCTCATGGATACCTGAACTCAAGTCACAAGTGCGTTGCCGCCCTTTCTAAAGACAATAGACACCTCTATATATAAGTTTTCACTTCTGTCGACACTCCAAGAGTGCCATTATTTTTATTATTATTTTAGTACAACCTACCATTGTCAAATTTAAAATAACAGATCTTTGACTAAACAGTTTTATTAAAACACTAACATTGTAATAACTAAATCACTTATCACCGATCCCCACATTCTTCTGTTGTAATTTGGCAATCATCTGCTTTTCTCTAGCCTCCTTCCTTGCCATTTTCTCTAGCTTCTTTTGCTCTTTCTCTCTCTTTGCCAACATTTCTTGGAACCTCTCATCTCGAGGATCCAACTTAAAACCAAAGTGTCTTCTGACCTCATCAACAAGTCTTTCTTTCTTTTCCTGAAATAGAAAAAAAATTTGCAATGAACATTAACAATTTATACATATTTATAAAAATGTTAAGTTGGTTTGCATACGCTTCAAAAACTCAACGGGTTCTGAAACCGATTGAACTCAAAGTTTGACTCAAATTCAAGTAACTTTATTTCATAAAAACATTTAAAAAGTATTTATCTATCTATCTATTTAAAATCGTCTCTTGGATAAACTCTAAAGTCATAGATCAACATTCACAATAGCAACAATCTCTGTTTTGTCAAATACTTATCAAACTAAATATATATGTATCAAAAATCTCTTATATGCCTGTGCCGATCTACAACCGCCCATTTCCAAGGGGTTGAGCCTCATGAGAAGAAAGGGCAACAAACTCACAGCCACTCTTTTCAATCAACGGATGACAATGGCATTATTAAATATACACAACATTGTTTTGATGTGTGCCAGTATGTAAGTTTTGAGGCCTAAAAAGTAAAAAAGCGATAAAGAGAAAAAAGCGATATAGAAAAAAGAATTTCTCAATTTACAATGCATCCATAATGTGAAACAGCAAAGCATGGCAGATTAAAGCTAGTTTATTATAAGAGAACAATTAACAAATGATATGAATTAGTAAACATATTTAATTTTCTGGACTACAATGTTGAATTTGCAAAATGTTGATTCATAAAAAGTTGAATTGCCCATCTGGATCACAAAGTTCAATGGCACAATATTAAAATGTTGAAAGCAGAATCAACGTAAGCATAAGTGTATCCTAGCATAGCTAGTAGAGTAGCATATAATTCTGTGACAAAAATTAAATATAAGTTTAACATTATGAAGCTTTAACAATTAATTGAGTGATGCCCCTTGGTGCCGAATTTCCTACGTTGTCGACTTTACTGAAATATCATACATGTATTACCTTTATGCTGAATTTTCATGGTTCATTAAACTTGGTACTCACAGCATCACTTAGTTAATTTTCATAGAGAATTTAATTTACAGTGTATAAAAGTCAAAATTTCTATTTAAAAAAAAACTATAACTTTAATTCATGTAAACCTACTATTGTTAAAGGTATTCTATAGGTAGGCTGTTAAAGTGTTAAAGCTTATAAGCAAACAAATAAACACACATTTGCATTTATAATATAATTTAGAATGAGCTAAGAATATTCAAATAAATAATTATTTACTAAATTAAACAAACCTTGGCTGCATTTGCTTCAGATAACTTCTTTGCTATTTTATCATTGAGCTCCTTCTTCCAGGTTTCCAGTTTGGCATGCTTTGTAGCCACTTCTCTATCCCTCTGCTCTATTTTCAATTCTTCTTCTCTCCTTTTTTGTGCTGCTTGTTCCATCATCTGCTTTATGCTGTATGGGTAAGCTACAGCTTCATATTCTAATCTCTCACTGATGTCTTTTCTTGTTGGGAAGCACAGAACTGGAAATGCATGAATATTTACATTAATAACAATTCAAAAGTATGTCATTATGACTCATTTGGCGGCCTCTTGGTAAGCGTTTACCAGTACTTACATTGAATTGTAAGAACAACTTACTTGGATTTACACCACTAGCACTCCCATACTTTCCATACATTTTTCTATTGTATTTAACTGTCAGATGTGTTATGCTTTTCGCTTCTTCATAAGGCCGCCGGCCACTAATAAGATTTTGATGAGATGGAGCTAAACGGGAAATATTCCGTTTCCTTTCAATTTCAGCCTCTTTCGCCTGAGCAGCATCAGAATCATCTATCAATACATGGTCATTTGTTTCTGCAATTTCGGTTGTTGCAGTTGAATACCGGAAAAGAGAACCTATTAAATTTGGCCGTAAGTACTTAGGTCTTAAACACAAACTCATTTTAATTAATATTTCGTTTTCCAAAAACAATATTTGCTCTGGGGATATTTAAGTCTAAACAAATGTCATTTATGTCATTTTTTAGGTTATCTTTCAGTTCATTATCATTTCACTCACTCATATCAAGTTCAGTAACATATTCACAGATTAAGAGATATGTATTAATTTTGCCATGTCCGATGTTCGTCTGTCCGTCACTCCTCAGAGGGTAGCTTAAAGGTTTTAGGCATTTGAAAACTGTAATTTGCTTTAATTTACCTATATAATACACACTAATCACCCCTATAAAATTCACAATAAAACAATGATCATTTTTATTTATAAATATTTTAATACACAATATACAAGACCTTGAAGAAAGTCATGAACTCATGAGAGATGGACACCTCAACTACCTCCTGAAGGTAGTTGAGGTGTCCAAGTGCGGCGGTATTCACTTACTATCAGGCGAACCGTCAGCTCGTTTACCCCCTATATCAAACGAAGAAATACTTTTTGTCTCATATAAATATTAAAGTGTCAAAATCGGTCTCGAGGCCAATTGAAAATAATTATTAGTCTCTATGAAAATAAAAATACAACATGTTCACGCTCTTTGATGAAAAAAATATGAATCACCTGTGTTTTCGAAATAAGGAGGTTAAAAGGGAACAACTCTTTAGAAACAGATAAAAAAATTGTTTTAATTTTCTCTGTTCATATTATTTTTACCATTTGTGCATAATAAAGAATCGTTTATCTATCCTCAAAAAAAACTAAACTAATTTTTTGTGAATAGTTGTTAATTTTAAATGTTGCCACAAGTAATAGTAACCGACTAGTCTACCGGTTAATATAAAGTAAGCCGTAATCCCTTACAATAAATGCTACATTAATATAAAGCTGTTTGATCTTATTATTGGTTGTCATCGTGTCAATTTTTCTAACGTAACATCGCTGTTTGTCTTTAGTTCTCCAATCGAATCCACTAACTAATCCATTGTCTCTGAGTTGAGTGAATCATTATATTACTTAGATTTGTTGATACATAGTTTTAACTGCTATCTTTTCTTAAAATGGATGATTTTGGTGATAGTTTTGTTCAACCCGAGGTAGATCCTGCGGCAGAGTTCTTAGCTCGTGAGCAAAACCAACTGGCAGGTCTTGAAGATGAGTTGGAAACCACTGCACCGCCCCCAATTATTTCTTCTACCAATGGATTGGACGATTTCGTTGGTAAGATATTTTTGTGAACATAATATTTTGTTAAAATGTACATAGTAAATTGCAATTTACCGGATATTTGTTGAAAAAAATGAAAATCAATACTGTAGGTGTTTACGTTAAGCTTACCCACTAATGAATATTTCAAAGTTATATGGTGAATACGTCGAATTTTCCGCTATGGCTTATAGCAACTGTTCTTACAGAAATTCCAAGCGCCTCTGCCTTCGATTCAAATGGTTTGATGGATGAGGAGCCCAATCAAACATCTGTGTTCAGCTCCATGCAACAGGAGCGTGAAGAACCAGAGAAGATTAAAATTTGGCGAGAAGAACAGAAGAAAAGGTTGGAAGAAAAAGGTATGTTAGACAATTTGAATCTTTCTGCTTGAATTTGATGTGATACAAAAAAAACAATTTCACACAATGTTTTTGGAGACAAACTTAGTACATGAAATTAAGATACGGTAGGCTTCTTCAGTTCAAGAGCCCTACTGATGGCTTAAATGGACAAAATTCTTGTTTGTCTTTAATTATACTTGTGATAGTGTATTTTAATTGTCTTATTAGAATTTACTATTTTATAAAAGTACTGATATTTAATAAGAATTTTAATACATGAAAGGATCTTCAGAAGTAGTGAATATGATTTTAATAACTTATAGTTTACAACTTATTCAGATGCAGAGGAGGAGAATAAGAGAGAGGAAATGTTAAAGATAGCCAAAAAGGAACTAGATGACTGGTATAAAACTCACGAAGAGCAGATTTCTAAAACCAAGGCTGCTAATAGGTATTATTTAAAACTCACATAAAATTTTCTTTATCTAGACACATATCAATAAATGACTCCTAGTGTATTGGTAAGAAGAAAAGAAAGTAATCTCAATGAATGACCACTATTTTAATAAGATTGTATTGTATGTATTGTATTGTGTATTCTATGTATTTTTATTAATGTATTACATATTAGGTATTCAAGGAATCATTGTATTACATAACCATTGATAGTTCAATGGTTCAGGCATTCAACTACACTGAGATAGGTGTGAGTTCGATGCGGGCCACCAGAGAGTAGGGACCTCTGGAAAAATGGGTAGAGAAGCATAGATGTTGGAATTAAATATTTGGTTGTTCTAGTGGTACTCTTTCTACTTTCTTCAAATATTTATAACAGAGGCATGCTAATTAAATAATGCCCAAAAGGCGAAAATCATATTCTTTATAATAAAAACTTTATCTCATGATTATTGTGAGTTTGAAGGCAGTGGTTTGCAGTTGATATACTGAATATTAACTACCCATTATTATGTCATTATTTTGTTAACTGAGGATATAGAAGATTTTTTTTTATCAGTTGTCTAGATAAAGACAATATGAATATGAAGAAATGTTGTCAATCATTTCAAGGGTTACTAAACAGTATTAGGTATATTATATTTGTACATGATATTTTGTTTAAAAATAATTTAGGCTCACAAAATATTAAAAATACTTTCTATTGAAAGTTAAATTGATTATTTACTGTATAACTCTAAATAAATGCATACTAATTTTGCTCTTTTCTTTCCAATGCTCTCAGGGAGTCGGCTAAGTGAGTATTACTAAAGTATAAAAACTAACGAGGAGGTTTTAATGGGTGGTGGAGTGGATATTATTGTCGTTTTTCAGCCATTTTATAGCCTCCAGTGTTGGTAGTACATCCTGTCCAGATAGGTGTTGGAACTAATAGGGATGATGTTGTTATATTAAAACTTCATTTAATTTTAAAAACTTTATTAAAAAATTAAAACCAAATCATATTCATAACTACACATACACACAGTTTGTCTTAAACATTAAGAAATATCATTCTGATAAATAAATAACATCCATCAAAACACTAAGTTTTTCAACAAGCACATTTTTCTGGGACATGCATTGGGCCCATATCTTTGTCTGGTATAACTTCAATACTGAATAGGTAATATAGTATTATATTAATGTTTTTTTTTCTCCATTTAAGAAATGCTGAAAAGGCTTTGGCACGCGGCTCTGAGGGCAGCGTGGAAGAAGGTAACGAGTGGACACGCGTTGCTGAGTTGTGCGATTTTGGACCGCGGCGCGGACGTGATGTCGCCCGTCTTAGGTCTATTGTCCTGCAGTTGAAACAATCTGGCGTACGGCCTAATCACCCACCGCGGTCTGCTAAAGTGTGAGTTTGTGATGATGAGTTTAATTATATTCTCTTGACTTGATTGAATTATAGTCTTCTGAATACTATGAAATAGAGAAAGAGAGTACTCCTTCCTAAAATGCCGCGTTTTGTACTCCTGAGTTGCAAGCGTTCATGGGCGGCAGTAGTCACTTTCCATCAGGTGACCCATGCGCTCATCTGCCTGCTCTTCCAAAAAATAAAGTAGGCCGTCAACAGAGTATTATAGTAAAAAAGTCTCTTTCCCAATAATTGAGCTGTAGCCATTGAGAAATTAATAAAAACTGAACATGGAACTACTCAACTTACAGAATTTAAATGACTAAACTTAAAGACTAAGTGAAAATTAATGCAACTGTCTATCAAAACATAAATTAAGTTTGATGCTCTATAAGATGCTTTTCTCGCAGTCTTATTTTTCAGTGCACTAACTTATATAAATTGTACTTAAAAACCTCTTGATTGATAACATCCTCAATCCTAATATAATAAACTAATGCAAGTTTTTTTACTATATTGACGATGTGTTGAAGTCTGTTTCTGCTGTATGTGAAAGTTGACAGATCACTTTGGTGATACAAATTCTTTGTGACTACCGATTTTGCTTTCACCACTGTGGCAATTTAACCTAATACTACTAGTTGTTGTTATAACACTATATCACAAACATTATACACCAAAGTATCAATTAAATATACATATCTACATTATAGGTGGGACAAAATCAGTGAACTTTGAATGAACGGTGATTTATCATTTGTAGCATAGTGTTACTACTTTTAAATTAACATTCATTTTTTTTGTTACAGAGCATAAATCACAGAAGAGCAAGTTTTGAATAGTTTACCTAATCATCAGTCTTGGTGTCAATAATCACATTAATTAGGAAAAATATACATAAATATAAATGTGTTCGAAAATTTCTTAATTACTGGAATGTAATAACTGCAAAGAATTGTTATTTATTCAATTTATATATTCTATTATGTTATAAATAAATGATGGAATCTAGGGCACACTAGGTTGCCATTGCAATTTATTTGTCATAAGGTTAATAAATATCATTCCTAAATAAATATTTGTTTAATTCTTTGGTATAATGGCTTCTTTCGCAAAACCTTCCTTGGTTATCATGAACATTATAACAATTATAGACATATTGGTTTTTTAAACTTAACTGACAATAAATAATTTTGAATACAATAAAATTAATTCTAGCCTTTCTGATGCTACTATACTGCTTTATTTATATAATTAGACTTGAAAATTCCTAGTTGTCTAGCAGCAAACATAAAGGAAAAAATCTGTCAACTAGATGTCAAAAAATATGTAATCCTCTTTCACAACCTATACCAAAACTTAGTTGAGATAGCAGCCATAGGCATTATTCTTGTGATAAAAATTTATAGTTAATTTTTTATGCAATTTTTTCTTTATTTTACTTTCTTGATACTAAAACAATTTAGATTCTTATATTGACATGTTAGTTATTCTATTTCTCCCAAATTGTTATTAAAATTGAGACTACACTACATTCTGTCTGTAACAAATTAACGATGTCTCTCATAAGATAGCTTTTGACAACTGTCTTGCTTAAATTCACTGTATGAGTTGCAGATACGGTAGATATAAAAATGCTATAACTTCAAATCCCTTGCTATATCAATGTGCTTTCTTTTATATATCCTTTCTGTTAATTTTAATAACAAGTACATTAAGCTTATGACTAAAAGAAATGGCCACACTCCACTCGAGAGGTAGCTTCGTAATTGTAATCCCAACGGCTTGTTCTTATTCAAAGATATATTATTATAAACTATTTCTGTCCTCCTTGTTACATCCATCCAATTATACATTTTTCTTATTATTCTATTGCACTGAAAAGGGCACATCAGATTCCCTTGAGCTATGTCTTTCATAGCATTTTCAATTCCTAGAACTAGACTGCCAACATTTGGTTCTGTCAAATAAATCATGTTTTCCGGTAATACTTCAGGGATTCCACCGACTCTAGTGGAAACAACTTTGAGCCCACAAGATGCAGCTTCAACTATTGCCATACAATAAGCTTCTGTCAAAGAGGTGTTCAGAAATATATCACCTTTAACCAACACATTTCGCACTTCAGAATGCTTGAGCGCTCCTAACAGAGTAACACAGTGCTGTAACCCCATTCTCTCCCTTATTTCCTGCAAGAGCCACATCTTAGGACCATCACCTCCAATAATAAATCTTAAATTTGGATACTTTGGACACATTTCGGCTATTACTGCAGCCATCAAATCAACACCTTTCCTATAAACCAACCTTGAAACTATTACAATGGTAATCACATGAGGATCTCTTTGACTCGGATCTGGGGTGAAAGTATAAGCATCTACAGCATTTGGTATGACAGACACCTTATGAGCCTTAACCTTGGCTCTAAGCACAGTGTTTTCTTTGCCAGTGTGTGATACACAAATACAGTGGTCACATTCACTTAAACATATTTGTAAATACTTATTTGTTAATACAGCAGATGTGTCAGCAAATCCAAACAGGCTGTGATCTGTGAATACAGTCTTTAGACCCATTAGTTTACCTATAACTGACACTTCATGACACAAAACACTAAATGCTGAATGTCCATGAACAATTTCAACCTGTTCTCGAATTAATATATATCTTATTATTGGTATATTAGTAATCATTGTTGGAAGAACAACTTGAGCATAAAATACTTTGATCGGTAAGTAATAAACCTTGAGTCCACATGTCAAATATCGTATTCCGATACGTTCACCATAAGAATGCGTGATTATGACAACTTTGTGCCCTCTCTTGATTAAACATTGTGATAAATTATAGATGTGTTCCTCAACCCCTCCAGTGTTTGGGTAGAAAAAATCTGAAGCTATGCAGATAACATGTTTCTTAGATATTGGACGACATTCCTGCAAGAAGAACAACGGAGGTTACAATCAGAAATTAAAATATGAATAACAAATGATCAATTTTATGAATTGAAAAAAAAAAACCTTTTTTTTAGGACCCATTGAAAATGTATAAATCAGTCATGAAATGGACGAATTTTTAAAAAATACTTTTAAATTCTAACATCTTTTAGGCCCAAGTGATTTTTGACGTTTATGACAGTATTTGTCATCCATCTCTGACAGAACTAGGGCTGCCAAAAATGAAAATGATCCAGAAAATAGTTTGCTTTTTACACATGGCTACAACGTCAATTATACAGCTCTAAAAAGTTGAAAAACTGACTACTCTTCTTCCAAGTTAAAGCTCGATTTCTTTCTTAACATTCTTTCACTAGGATTCTGGTGTTTTAAAAGAGATGTATCCGAAGGGTGAAAGTTACAACCACTATGGAAATGGTAATATCAAAATAAATACATGTCAATTGGAATGTCAAACTAGCAAAAGTGTCAAAGCAATGTTGTGTACTTTGTGTAGTGTGGTGGTAGGGTTATTTATAATATATTTTGATTATTAATAAATAATTATTAAAGCTACTGTGAGAATCATCACCATAAATAAACCAAAAAGATTATTACCGGATGACTTCATTTACATATCTTAAATCTGAGGAGGATTCTCTTGTTCCAACTGCCATCATCATTTACAATATAAACATTCACAAAGTTATGATATAAAGACTCTCCAGAAAATATGGAGGAAGATAAGAAATCAGAACGGAAACGAAAGAGGTTTTCAGCGCGATTATACAGTTCTAAAGGAATAGTATGTTCCAATACACTGGGCCCTGTAAGTCCATCACAATAGTGTGTAAAATTTTAAAAGTATGTCAATATTATTATACAAATTATTGCCATAATCGATTTAAGTGGCGTGCAATGGGAGAGGCTTATATCCAGCAGTGGACTGTGATAAACCAATGATGACCACCTCTTAGGCCAGCAACACACAGCTGACCCATATTGTTTGTCACATATATACTAAAATACAACCATTTTGTTTTAGAAAATTGTTCTCTGTAATGCTGGACAGGCCACTGGGCTAGAAAACTATAATATACATAATGTAATCAAGGAGCAAAGGTTAGATATACCTTTACCCAAGTTTATAGCTGAGAAAGGAGAGTCCCATTCCTTTTTAGTATTTGATGCAACAGAAAGTGCAGTACTATTTTTTAATATATGCAATGGTAAAGTGAAAATTGGGGAAAATGGAACTCCACTTTATTTAAATTTTGTTGAAGAAGGTAAACAAAATTTATTCAAACAATTTTTTTACTTATAAATTATCTACTATACATATTGATGGCTAAAAGCAGTTGTATCTCAGAAATTGGGCTAAATGTAAAGCGGAAAAAAGGAGTTTATGTCTTGTCTTCATGTGATGAATGATATAACATTTACTTTTTGACATTTTTACAAAAGAAAAAAATACAAATTTGAATAGTTTTTGGTCTCAAGCATAAAATTGCATATTTCAAGGAACTGCTTTCTGTCATTGAAATTCAATCAGTAACCAAAAAACAAATATTTTTTTCAGTTCCAAGCACAGAAGTGATATGTAGTCTTGATAACCCTAAAGGTCTGTTACTCCTAAATAACTTCATCACTATTGATGAGGAGGCAAGTTTTTTGAAACTATTCAACTGGAACCCCGAATCAAGTAATTTAAAAAATAGACAAGTTAAACATTATGGTTTTGAGTTTAGATATGGAAGTAATGATGTGGATTTAAGTAGCCCATTGAAAGAAAAGATACCCAAGGAATGTGATGTGTTGTGGCAGCGACTGAAAGAACATGGATTTAATCTTGGTACTCCAGATCAATTGACCATAAATAAATATAGTCCAGGACATGGTGGGTACAATCTTTGCATTTGGCTTTATAGAAATAGGGACACAGTAGTATTTATATGGTGTTAACATTGTAACTATAAAAGACATCTAATGTTTATTATCAATTTCTTTAATTTTCTGATAAAATGAATGATATATCATCGGTCTACACTTATCTGCTCATATGTGCAAACTAATAAGATTTTTAGAAAAGACAAAAAACTATTTCTACAAAGGAGGTGTAATATTATCAATTTATAAACAATGCATAATAAGCAAATTTTATCAAAAACTAGCTGACCCGCGCAACTTTGTCTGCGTCTCTCAATAGTAATAAATTTTCTCCGTTTTTGAAACATTCTTCATTGGTGCTCGGCTCCTATTGGTCTTAGCGTAATGATATATAGCCTATAGCCTTCCTCGATAAATGGGCTATCTAACACTGAAAGAATTTTTCAAATCGGACCAGTAGTTCCAGAGATTAGCGCGTTCAAACAAACAAACAAACTCACTCTTCAGCTTTATAATATTAGTATAGATTTTAGTGATGAGCTATCTCATCTAGATAAGGTATGTAATATTTTATATTTTTTATTGAAACATTTTTCCAGGAATACCAGCTCATGTTGACAAACACAGTCCATTTGAAGACACAATTCTGTCACTGTCATTAGGCTCTGACGTAGTGATGGATTGGAGACATCACAGTGGTAAATATGTGCCAGTTTTGGTACAGGCACGATCACTGCTCGTAATGCAGGATGAGGCTAGGTGATATATTGAAATCTGAATTGTATATGTGAGAGAAATACTATTGTATAGTAATAACCAGCGAAGCAGAAAACAGTTTTTTCCATTTTACCACTCATAATTATTTTATAATTATCCTTCAATAAATAATTTTTGCATGACACTGCGTTGACACATGACACATGACATTTCGTTGACTACAATAAAGCTGGCTTAGTCACAGGCAGGCCAGATGGTGTCTTGCCTCCTTGTCTCAAAGTCGCAAAGCAACTGTCATTTGAATATATGTATACACTGTGGCGGTATAGATATCACAAAAAATGAAATAACAGATAACACGGTTCAATATACGTCGGTTAAAATAAAAAAATAAAAAATTAGTACGAAAATACAGAAATGCAAATTTAGAACAAACTAAATACAATAAAATAATTTCCGAATTAGAACACCATTGATAACATGCGTCGGTGAACTGTACCTACACGGCAGCGTCGCAATGTCGGCGACATCAAAACGACGCCGCCGCCGGCGAACTTTACATTCTTATTACCTACCTACCAATCACTTCACTTGCTTTTAAAAATCTATTTATAAAGAATGCGATTTTATTCACGTGTTTATTTCGTGAATGCTCGACTAGCTTCCGACCCAGCAGTACGCGTCACTCCTTGAAAAAGTAGTTACCTTGGTTGTCTCGTAATCTTTGTACCGCCCTTACAAAAATTCGGCAGTCTGTAGGACATACACGATTGACTCCATACGTGTCCGTAAAGCAAAAGATGCGTTTTGATAGAGTTTTCCATAAATTAACATCATAGCAGGATATTCCGCGGCTGTGAAGGTCACTCACGGCATTATGGATGTTGATATCGATAACCCAATAAAATTAAAAGACTGATAATGCACTCAGTTTCACACTACACTACACACAGAACCTAATAGTGACTTTTCAAAATAAAATTAGCAGGACTCCTTACATTACGAAGTCTTGCGCACACGATAACATTAATTGTTCACACCATTGCCGTGTATTATGACGAAAGCAATAAGACTAAACAATTATTACCACAAGAAAACTTCTCTAAACAAATATGTATCTCATAAACAACAACAATATTATTATTACGGTTATTTGTCGTGAGCGCATCTACAAGGATACGGAATAGCATAAGCTCGCCGGTGGCCAAGGGCCGACTGACTGTCCTTACTGGATGAACTAATTAAAAACGCGTGTTGCATCGTGATGACGTAATAATCAACATATTTCGTTCGATTCGGGTGTAGTAAAAGCGGCAACGTGTGATTACCGCGCCGCTGATCTATACCTACAGCTGATCGCCGCCTGAGGTCAATGTATTATGACTGCATGTACACATGATGTTGCAATTTACGAAACACAAAAATGAGTCCTGTGGCTAAACTACTGGATATATTTTGTTCATATTTTGCAAATCGCCTAGAAATTAAGGGTAGAATATGTGGCTTAAGTATATGTGAAAGGAAATGAAACTCTCTGTATAAAACTTAAATGGTGTAAAGTTATCCTCTTGGTTAAATTATTCATAAACCTTCCAATATTTGAAATTGTACATATTATTAAAATATTTAGTTATTTGAAGTTAGTTTTACTTTTCCAAGTTTTAGTTCAGCAAATTATTAGCCATGCAATGTGCATGTCTAATGAGAAATGTATTTTAAACAAGGGTCTTAAATGGTAGCCATTTATAATAAGCACAAATGCTTTCAATTAAACTGTTGTAATTTAATGATTATTGTAATTATATTTTTTTTTGGCGTAATTCAAGCAGAAAAGTCAAAGAAATATTTTATCATTTCATAAAATAGTTTTATTTAAAACTTCAATTTTTTTTGTTGACAGTACTTTCCCAAGACATCAATTGTTTTTTATTATTAATGATCCCAATACAATATTTTTTTTTAAAATAATTATTGTATCTATAGAGGAATTGGCAGCCCCCTAAATACATTTCAATTTCGCAGGTATGATTGGCAGCACGGAATCCAACCACGCACGTATGACCCCGTCATTGAACATCGTCGTTCAGATGATTCTAAGAATACAATCAGAGTGATAACCAGTGATACTACACCAAGGCAAACGAGGGTATCATTAACATTCCGATGGACTAGAACCGGCCCTTGTGAATGCAAATATAAAACTCTTTGTGACACAGTAAAAAATGTTTCAACTGATAATTTGGAAGATGAAATCGCTTCTAATTTGGAAGAGTTGCACGTACATCAAGTAAGCTCCAGTCTGTTTCTCTATTTTTATTGTGGCAACACTGAGGATAACACTTTGAAACCTATGAATAATATTTTTATTTAAAATTGTTTCTACTCTACACTTTTTGAAACGTTACACGCTCTGAACTGAAGCGAGATCGAAAAATGTGTAACAAGACTTTGTTCCGACACTTGTGGAACTACGTTCCTACCAAGGGTTCATAGACCCCCATTCTGTTTGTTTTATTGACTTGTTAGTCTAGTTCGGTTGATTAGCGATTCTGACTTTTAGTCAGACGTCGTGGGTTCGATTCCCAACCAGGACAATTTTTTTAATATTATGTTTATCACATGAGCACGATAATTTATTGTTCTGTGTATAAAAGTATGTTTATCAGCCTAGTTTGGTATCAGACAGGAAATGTTTAAGATGCAAGTTACTCTTATTATTAAAATTTGATTTGCAATTAAATATGTAATACAATTTGTTTACTTAAAAAAAATATTAAAATATTAATTGTGTACAAAACAAAATCAGCAATTTTCATTCAATTTATGTTCTGTGCTGGATGCTTGTAGGAAAGGTTCCCATGTATCTCAGAGGTTTTCAAAATAAAGATTTTTACTTCTTATTGGTGGTGGTTTGTGTAATGGACTGCTATTCCAAAGGTCGCGGGTTCGATTCCCTCTTAAGTCAAACATTTGTGTGCATGAACATATAATGTTTGATTTGGTCTGGGTGTTTCTATGTACAATATGTATATATTTACAAAAAAAAGTATAGGTATATGTATTTATATCAGTTGTCTAGTACCCATAGCACAAACTCTGCTTAGTTTGGGACTAGATGGCGTTGTGTGAATGTGGTACAATATTATTATTATTTATATGAAACGCCTTCACATAACATTATAAAATGATGTCTCATTATAAAAGCACTGTAAATTTTTAGAGAAAATGTGGTTCCAACTAAACACGTCTAATTGATAACTTTCTTTCAATAAATAGTTTTAATATACAAATTTAGAAAACCCTAGAAAAACAAGGTACCACACTATTGATTGTACAATGTTTCAGGTTTACGAACAAATTGCGGGTCATTTCAGTACAACTCGTCACAAACCGTGGCCAAAAGTAGTACAGTTCATGGAGGGAGTGCCCGCTGGCAGTGTGGTCTTGGATCTAGGCTGCGGTAATGGCAAGAATATATTGAGGAGAAATGATATTGTGCAGGTTATTTACCTAATTTGTATTTAAATAGTGTTGCCAACATGGAAGTGGTAGCTGTATTAATTCGAAGAAGTTGCTCTGAGAATATTTATCAATGAAATACACACCACTTAAGCTCGTTATAATATCAACCATATTTATGTATTTAGAAATATAAGTATATTTATCAGCAGTCTGGTTACCATAGTACCTATAATAGGCTTTCCCTAGTTTGGGATCATAGGTAATAAAGGCAAATAAGTCTTATAAAAAGGCTCTTATTAGGTAATGCGTATTTTTACATGGGGCACTGCTAAACAACCCTTCGATTGAAACTTTTTTGCATCAAGAGAGCGAGAATAATTTTTACTTATTTTATAGATAGCATGTGAGCGCTCAACGGGTTTATTGGCCGAATGTAAGGAGCACATCCTTGGCGTGAGTGGTGCGGATTGTTTGCGGCTGGACCTGCTGCGCGTGCCGCTCAGGAACCAAGGCGCTGATGTCGTTATTTGTATTGCTGTTATACATCACTTTAGTAGTAAGGTAAGATTATATCGATAAAGTCTTTCTACCAAACATGATATCGGTAGATTAGTAATACCATTTAAGGAACTATTTTAATCCTTTATATAAGCCGATTTAACTTAGAAGCTATCTAAATGTATGTTTCAAGTGTACCTATATCATTTTTCAGGCGAGGAGGCTACAAGCTATATCGAACATACATCAATTACTTCGGAACGGAGGTAGAGCCCTCATCACCGTCTGGGCAAAAGATCAAACTAAATCCAATTACCTGTGCAAAAATAAGCTCAACCAATATACTGAGACCAGCGAGACTCAGGTCTCGGTTGGAGGAGTCCACTTACCAGTGCATGAAAATAGAACCCAGTTCAAGCATAAAGATTTATTAGTACCGTGGAAGTTGAGGAAAGTGAATAATAATAAACTCGAAAATAAACCAGAAGATACCCTATTAAGGTATTATCATGTTTTTGAAGAAAATGAATTGGATCAATTGTGTGAAGAAGCAAATTTTGTTATAGAAAACAGTTTCTATGAAGAGGGTAACTGGTGTGTTGTCTGTAAGAAAAAATAAATTTAGTGAGGTAACACTTTGTACTTTCTTTTTTATTGACAAAAAGTATCTGTCTACAAAATAAAAAAAAAATGTCTAGTATAAAAAAAGTTTTACAACAACAATAACACAGACCCTTGCGCATACGAGCTAATGGAGAAAAACAACATATTTTTAACTAAAATAAATAATAACTTTAGTTATAAAAATACTTTGTTCTTGTGACACATTACGGTAACCAAACATTTTCACAATATACAAACACTATTTACAAACATCAACATTTAATTTAATATTTTTAAATTAACAAAAATCGTATTGGTCACACGAGACAAGCCATACCTGAGTTGAGACAGAGAGGACTTATTCAACTTCTTTACTGAAACAAACGCAGATCAGAATTTATTACAACCTTTTATCTGGTAACATTTCATTATCCAATTTTTTCATTAAATGGAAATCTCTCAAAACTGTAAGGCACAATAGCAGGGAAATCGATCTCGTGAAACCAATCTATACTAATATTATAAAGCTGAAGAGTTTGTTTGTTTGTTTGTTTGTTTGTTTGTTTGAACGCGCTAATCTCAGGAACTACTGGTCCGATTTGAAAAATTCTTTCAGTGTTAGATAGCCCATTAATCGACGAAGGCTATAGGCTATATATCATCACGCTGAGACCAATAGGAGCGGAGCACCAATGAAGAATGTTTCAAAAACGGAGAAAATTTATTACTATTGAGAGACGCAGACAAAGTTGCGCGGGTCAGCTAGTAAGAGATACAATAATAGTGTTTTTGAACCTAAAACACTTCTAATAGCAAAGAAAGTGCATAGTTCGTCTCCAGTTGTTGTGAATTTTTGAAGAAAAACATTTGTCGAAAATCTACATTGGATATGATTCGAAATGATCTCAACGATACAAAAGAACTGCTTGTTACATGCCTGTCTTACTCTCTACTATATCTTTATAGTGAATAAGTCTTTAAAAATATAACTGCACTAAAAAGCACCCGACATACTTTCAATTATAAAAATGTTTTTTTTCAACATATTATTAGAAAATGGTGAATATATTATATTAAGTTCTCTGGTCCTCAATAATAAATTGCAATGTTATTAAAAAAAAATACATAACCACCAAAATATACTTTTCTAGCACCCTTAGAATTTTCGCCTAAAGGTTTTTAATGTGCAAAGGGACAAAGGATATGGGTACACTCGCGCACACACCCCATATCTACGAATATAGTGTCTTGAAATAGTGCTTGGTATTAGTACATTCATAATGCTGCGAACAGAATGGCAGTGTTTTACCCGTTTCAACGGTTAAATAATACTTACAAGTATGAGTTACGTATTCAATTTTTTTTTTTAATTTACTGAAAGTACGACTATAGCAAATTTTTGAATAAAATTACTTTGTGTTATACGCATTGTGTATTTAGACATACAAAAATATTCTTAGAAACGTTAAGACGTCGAGACAGACCGCGTTACAAACAATTTCTTTTGCAAACTACCGAATATCACTCCGAATATTTCGACATTATCACATATACGCAAGATATTGGGAGTCAGGGCTTCATAAGAGCTAACTGTAACAATGGTATAACAGATATAGTCGAAAGATCGGCTAAAACTGCATCGACATTTTGCAAAGTGTTCACTTGGAATATATTCTCTTTTCTAAAGCTTAGTATTGCCAGTGCTAATAATGGTAGGATTTCTAGGCAGTCGTAACCTAGGATGGCATCCCAGAGTAATAAAAGCTGATCTGGCGGTAGATGTCCGCTGAAGGCTCGCATTAACCATTTGAATACCACTCGGATGCTGAAAAAAATAATTGAATATCGTCAAATATTCCGTTCTATTTAAAAAACAAATCACTATTTAGTCAATATTATGTTATAACTGAGTGAGAAAATAAATAAAAAATCGTATAAATATATTCCTTACCGTTTTTAAATACTTAAAATATGAGTTTAAACTCAAAGAAACTTAATAGGAGGTCAATGTTATTAGATTTATAGATATTTTATTTAGAGCAGGTATGATACTGTACCATAGTAACTTTAAAAAAAAATGTATTATACTCACGGATTAATGTTAATATTTCGAAAGTGTACCCATAGTAGAGGTTCATTTGCTTCTAAAAGCCTTTCATACAAAAGACACAATGAAACTATACCCTGAAACAAAAGGTTAATGATTGAATTAATTCTAGAAGGCTATAATTTAAATTGTTTATGATACGATGTGAAAAGTTTACTTCCTTACAAGGTCGTTTGCGGTGGTCTAAATTAGTCCGGACATTTGTATAAAATTATTTAAATTTCTGAGGGTACTTTGAGATTTCTCGATTACAGGGAAAAGGATGAGGAAAAATCCTGTCAAAACTACCTTCTGTAAGGTTCTTTCAATATACCTGTGGATGTGTCGATATGTAATGTAGTCGATGCCAGTATCGCACGTAAAAAGCTCGGAAAGTGTAGTAAAGTTGTACCGGATCGTCGTATAGGTAACAAAATGGAGTGGCTGAAAACACATTTTAAAAAGAGTTATTTTAATCTTTACACATATAAGAATCATAAAGAGAAAAAAAACCGGTGGCCCTCTAGGAGTGTCGACAAAAGTGAAAACTTATATACAGAGGTAACGGTAACAGTGTCGCGAGTTCAATTGTTTTTTCCCATCTCAAAAAATGCCTAACGCGCCTAAAGAAGTTTTCTCTTTAAAATATACAGAGATGTCGGTAACGGTAACAGTGTCACGAGGTCAATGGTTTTTCCCATCTCAAACAAAAATACATTATTTTGTTTGTTGTTCAAAAGTGCCCAACGCGCCTAAAAGAGTTTGATTTAATAAAAGAGATATTTTGTTGTATGTTTTTTATGGTATAAGGAGACAAACGAGTGGACCGGTCACCTGATGGTAAGTGACCATCTTCGCCAATAAACACCTGCAACTCGAGAGTTACAAGTGCGTTGTCGGTCGTTAAGTGGGGGTTTAAAGGGCGGTAAATCGGAATCCGGAGTCTGATCAATCACTCTGTGAAAAGCAACGAAATAATAACACCGGTTTTCTGTAAGGCCGTGGTATCACTTCTTTCGAGCCGGCCCATTAATGCCGGTTAAGCTTGATTTAATCTGTGGAGATATTTTTTTTCGTGTTTACACATTACTAGTGTTCTTGTCTCTAGCCCCGGATCTAGGAGGGGCAAACCCTAAAACTCAGCAGTTTCAGAGGGTGCCAAAATCATAATATAATATGGTTTCAAATAAACATACATTAATATACTAAAATATATATTGTTACGGAAAATCACGAAAGATGCCAAACATCAAAATATATTTGTGAGTTTTTTTTTAATTATTTACCTCAAATGCTGGAGAGAGGGGCGCTATAAGTTTTTGCCCCGGTTCGAAAAAATCGTAGATCCGGGGCTGCACCCCTCTAGTCGGTAGTGTATTAAATAGGGTACGAATATGGAACCACTTTTACACAATAATGAAAGTTCTCTACACAAACTTGTAATTAGCTTTTTGGGATTATAGATACCGATGCGAAAATTAAAAAAATTGTCAGATGTATGTTCTAGAATCTGTGATGAGAGCTTACCATACATTGTAAATCCATGGAATGGTATGATGCCGCTGGGCGGGAACGCTGTCAAACTCTCCGGTGATGTTTGCTTCCCTTTAATAGTCACAACAGGTGGATTACCTATGTTGCCCTTTAGGAGCTGCATTACCTCTACGTCGCGTGAAAAACATAACATCACCTGCAAACGAGATAGGTTTGTACAAAGTTCGAAAACGTCAGTCTTGAAATGTAAGAACGAGATTAGGCATAGGATAAAATACCTAATATACCTAATATATATACCTAATATACCTCACACATTTCACACACGGCTGTCTGATCCCAAACTAGGCAGAGCCTGTGCTATGGTGACCAGACTGCTGATAAACATACTTATATATTTTTAAATACATACATATTATAGATAAATTACACCCAGACACAGAAAAACAGTGAACTGTGGAAGACTGGTGATTTATCATTCGATTTTTTATGTACGTAGGTTAGGGTTGCTAGGTGGCAACTCACACTAACTGTGATTTTGTCCCATGCCTCGTAAGTATGTGTTCAACCAAACTACAAAAAATAATTACGAAAGAGAGAAACATGAAAAAGATAGACCCAAAATGATCCGCCATTTGGGCGGGCCTAGTGGTTAGTGGACTGCTAATACAAAGGTCGTGGGTTCAATTCCCACCCAAAACAAATAATTTTGTAACGAGCACGATCATTTGTTTTATATCTGGGTCTCTATAATATGTATGGATTTAGAAATATATAAGATGTTTATCAGCAGTCTGGTTACCATAGTACAGGCTCTGCCTAGTTTGGAATCAGACGGCTGTGTGTGAGATATAAAATTATTCATATCCACTTCGATAGATTAGTCAACTTAAAAAAGTCTGAAATGCCTCGTTCAAGCTTAACATAACACATGACGATAGACGCGTACTGATGCGGATTTATATAAAATGATCCTTATTTACATTACCATAAAATATATTAATTCGTAATTTACCTGATATAGCAAGTCTTCAAATACAAAGTATTGGTCATCGTTAGAAGCTGTGAGCTGAACATCTTTGAATATAAGCTTATCTACCATTAGGTCCACTTCTAACACGTTTTTCTTAAGCCGATTAAAGTATTGCACTTGCTGTGAGGAAGAAGCAAAATCATGGGTATTATCAAAGTAATATAAAAAGTACATTTCAAAAATCTATCGGAACTTAAATCCGATGTACAACTTATATAGAGTGGCGAATTCCACAGCCTGTTAGGAAGATCCTTCTTATGTGTAGTAAGGACACAAAATTCGTTCATCCAGATTGGTAACTACGACTCTCCAACTAACCTAATGGAACAGATGAGTAGAATTTTCATGGCCACTCTCGCTTATACTTTTAAAACTGTGAGTAGTAACCAAGTCTTAGACAGGGTAATGAATTCGAAATATAAAATACAGTAAAATTATGATTTAACGATTATTATTAAGTGACTACTAGTCATACATATTTACACCTTCCTAACATCAACGATCCAACGATCCTACGATCATAATTTGACGAATAATTAATTTTAAAACATAAAATTGATCATATTATATTCCGAAATCGACTTAACTTATACAAATTCTTAACAAATTTAAATTTCTTTTGTATGTAAAGAAAAATAGCTGTAGCAAAAATTTTCGATCATTTTCTGTTTTTGTACCTATCGGGTCAGTTCTTCATTGACTAAACTAATCTTAAGTATTGATTTTTGTAAATGTGACAGCTTACCGGCGCTTTAATATCTGAGCCCAAAACGTTAGACCAAAGCTTTGCCCTCAAGCATTGCGGACTGCCCTTCTTTAGGTACTCCTGTACAACAGGGGCATAACCCAGCGCTACTACTCTCTCACCCAAGCTGATACGTTCAGCTTCCAAGGTGGAAAATCCTGGTACAGTGCTCGGCATGTATGGGTTCACTCCTAGAAGCGGCTCGCCACTTGACCATTCCGGAAACAGTTTTCGCTAAAAAGTTAGACGTTGTGTAGAAGAATTTAAGATAAAAAAACAAATTGTATAAAATTAATGAAATTACAAATTCCACTGATGGCATAACAAATTACAAAGTTATTAATTTTAATGTTAAGATTCGACATCTCAATATCCTGTACGATAGGAATAATAAGGGCAAGTACCTACTACGTTATAGGCGAAGTATGTACTTACCAACTGGTCAATTTTATTTACTTTCAAAGGTAAATGAGCAAACTCCCATTTTGGTTCATCGCTAAAAGTAAGAAAAAAAGTTGATAGTTGGGTACACGGTGATATTACGGAAGAGATATTTAAGAAAATACTAAGTGACGAAAGTTACTCACTCCCTTGTAAACGGAACATATCCAGACAAAGTTAACAATACTTCCAGGAAATCTTTTGGAGCATACACCGGTCTATATTTTGATAAATCTAAAAAAGAATTAATCAAAAGAATGAAAACAAGATGACAATATGCTCTTATACCTATATAGTCGTGAAATAGGGGACATGATGTCCCACGGTGACACATTTACAAATGAACAAGAACATTAAAATACCCACAGATACAGCGTCGTTTCAATTATGTTATACTGGTATTTCCTTTTGTTTTTATTATTCCTTGGTATACCAATTAGAGACATCTAAACAACGATGCGTACCCATACAGAACTATTTTTACAATTTTAGTCAAATTCGTGATCAAATGTGATCACGAAGTTGAGTTGAGAGGTGAGGGGATCTTGGCATATGCTTACTAGGCATATGCTAAGATCCCCCTCCCCTTTAGTGTTCGAGTAGTATTTAATAAAAATGGTTTAGAATCATTTTACACAAAAAGAAAGATAAAACCTAATAATTTGGCTCATATGTATTTTTATTAGAGGACTTGTCATATATGTCATTTATAGGTACTTTTCCCCCCTATGTGACCAAGGGTGGAATTTTAAGGACCCCATCTCCCCGAATGGGGGACGCACCCACGTTCCCTAAGTCCTATTTACGCGTAGATCCATCTATTAGTTGCATAATATTTACCTAAATTGTAAGTACTAAGTTCGCTCCATTTCTCTGTTAAAATATCTTGCTCGCTCTGCAATCTTACTTTGGCTAGAGAAGTTTCCAGATCGGTGCACATAGAATTTAATGATTTGTGGATTCTCTTTTCCCACTGTGCGCTGGCTTTCGATAGTGAGGTTAATGGATCTAGCCTCTGTAACGAAATTAACGTGTTTTATATTACGACCTCGTTAAAACTAGAGGAGATTGACTAGAGGACTAAGCAACAAACAAATAAATTTTGTAATATATATTTTCGAAGAAAATAACATGTTAGCCTAAAATAGGAAAAAAATATGTTATGCAAAAATATTAAGTAACAAAATACACATGTCGTACATCTGAATAGATTGTGATACCTATGTATCTTAACACTAGCAGTAGCATAGATGTCTAGAATGTCTATCTAGTTTTTAATAAAAAATCAACTTACACAATGTTTACTTTGTGTTCTAACCCAATGAAAAACTGTGTTCCTTAATTTGGTGTCTAATCCTTTTTCTTTCATAGCTTGTTGTAAGGTTTGTTTAAAATTTTCTTTCTCTACATTTGGAGAAGAAACTAATTTCTGAAAATAAGTAGGTGGTATTACTAGAAAGGTAAAGAAATTGATGATAACAGATGATCTTCCTTTCCTCACAGTGCACTTACACAGCTACGATCTACAATTTAAATTAAATATAAGACATGACGGTTTTAATTTTTTTATAAACTTGATTTAATAAATTATTTTATGAATTATGATGACAAAGTCATGTGTGAGTCACTTACCTGTACATCGCTATAGAATGATTTGTAAATCGAAAGATGTTTTATTTCATCTGCTAATTTTAATGCGGTATGGTGTATAGCTTCCTCTTGTACACCGTCCATAATAACTAGCTAGTCATAAATGATACCTATATATATTAATTTTGTAAAAAGAAAATAACAATCGTAACTGTGTTTATTTTTTTTATAAAATTCATAGTTCATATGAAAGTGAAAAGATACTGTTGCCTTAGAAACGGGTAAAGAATTAAATTTTGTCAAAGTTTACGCAGAACTGGATTCCTATTTTTAAAGGAGAGTCCTTAAATCTAAAATTAACAAAACGTTCAAATTAGGGTTTCGAAAAGAATTATAAGTTGAGACACAACTTCGGTCTTAACTGCGCATCAAAACTGTGGTAACTTAAAATCCTTACAATGTGATCGTTATCTGGACATCAAAATAACAATCACATTGAAGGATGTTAAGTTCTACAATTTAATAGAAGCGACTGGTTAAAAGAAGCTGTCGTATTATTACGTAACAAACGTATGGATTTAAAATGTTAAAAGGACACTTGGCGAAATGATAGAAATAATTTATTCGAAAATATTTAGTTATTTATAAAAGTGTAAGAAGATAGCTTATAATGGTAACACATTTTCACTAAACTGAAGTGACATATATAGTTGACATATGACATTCGCGAAGTTGTTATTTCAATGCCTAATACCTACTTGTTTTGCTGATTGTTTTCATAACAAAGAACCACAAAAATGGGAAAAATATTCTTGGACCATATTGGGGGTACTCGTTTATTCTCCTGTGCATCGTGTGATGTAAACCTTACAAATCGTTCTGAATTAATAAGCACCAGATTTACGGGGGCTACAGGTATGATCTCTTTTAATTTACTTCTGGTACAAATATCCCATTTTTTATTCATAAATTTAACCTTTTTACATGTGTAAAATTAGCGTAACCCGGCTAATATTACTATTTAATAATCATTAAAGGTTAAAATGTATAAATAATTTAATTTGTCTATAATATGCGAGTACTTGTAGCTAAGTAATAAAAGTTTCGTAAATGACAACACACCAATGTGGCAATTGTGTTGGCCAGCAATAATTGATGATGTCTTGGTAATAATTTACTTCGTGTTACGACATTATAAATGTTTACAGCTAATGAAACTATTTATCATTCATTGTTTAAGCAGTTGTTCATTGTGGTTTCATTGTAGTGGTGTTTACTCTTTTAAGGGTTTACTGTGTTGTAGGGATGGAATGAAATCACAATCACCAGTTATAAATCATATAATCAATTCTAATCATTACATCATATGATTATGAATTATAAGTAGCAATAATTACCATGTCTACTGTGTTGTTTCATGCCCTACAGCTATGCTTAATTGATACTCTATCTAACGCAAACAAAAAAACCATTCAAATCTGACTGATAGTTGTGGAGATGTGTTTAAACAGAAAAGTAATAACTATAGTAAAGTAATAAAAATAAATACTTTTGTGATTGATATACAAAATTATTAAATATTTAGTAGTACTTTAGGTATGCTTAAGTTAAACCTAATAATAGTCCTTTATTGAAGAATGGTGCATCTTTTGTACTTTGCACTTTTTATTTGCATAATTTTAAATGTAACTAATAAAAATTCTTGCAGGTAGAGCATTCTTGTTTCACAAAGTAGTAAACCTATTGTACTCAGAAGTGCAAGACAGAGTGATGCTTACAGGCCGCCACATGGTGCGTGATGTCTCTTGTAAGAATTGTAACACTAAACTCGGTTGGGTGTATGAATTTGCCACAGAAGAGAACCAGAGGTGGGTATTAATTTTTACCGTTGTGTGAATAAGTTAGTGAACTCAGATCTTCATCATAGACAGTCTTTATAAGTCCACTGCTGGACATATTTAATTCAATTCTTTTAATTTGTTAAAATGTGGTAATCAAAGTTGGTAAATACACTACAGAACATATCCAACACATGACATGCAAATCACTAATAATTTATATTACAACAAAACAGCATAATACAAATAAATAAATAAATATGAACAAATCACAAATTAAGTAGCTAAAATTACCAATTAATTATACATTTATTACAATAGATCAATCAACAGACCAATAAATAACTATAATATTAGTGTTAAATTTGTAACTTAACATAACATTAACTTAGTAGAAACATCTGTAAACAAACCATCAGGGCCTCAATTCTGCTGCTGCAATTTTAATCATATTACATATCCTTCAACGTTTTTCCATCTGCATGGAAATGGTTCAAAACATTCCTCTCCCAGGAAATGTAATCCATCTTCCTTCTCAGATTACCGTCCAATATCTATCCTTCCTTTTTTTTTTCTAAAGTCTTGTCTCGAAAGAAAAGAAATTGTCTCCTTAATCCTTTCCAGTCCAGGCCGTAGTATTACCACAGTTATTGCGGACAACGTTAGGTCGGGTATGGACGAAGGAAAGCTAACAGTCTTTGCTTTGCTTAACTTTAGCAACGCCTTCAACACTGTGGATGTTGATGTCCTGCTATGTATATTGTACTCTCTCAACGTATCTCCATCGGCGCTTGACTGGTTTTGTAGTTAGCTGTACGGTCGCCAGCAGGGTGCTTGTACTGAAAATGTTTATTCCTCTTGGCGCACAACATCTGCGGGCGTACCTCAGGGCGGCGTGTTGTCACCGTTACTTTTTGCATTTTTTATTAACTCAATCACAAATCAATTACTGTCTTCCTACCATCTTTATGCAGATGATCTCCAAATTTACTGGCAAGCTACTCAAGATAATTTCACAAAAGCAGTGGATGCTATTAATAAAGACTTAATGCAAATATGTCACTGGAGTAGGGAGTATGGGCTGAGTGGTAACCCTACCAAAACAGAAGTCATTATTGTAGGTAGTCCCAGACTGCACTGTAAAATAAACTTTCAGCAAATACCCGTTGTTTGTTGCAATGGCTCGGTTGTACCATACAGTGAAAAAGCTAAAAACTTAGGGATCTATATGGATAGGTACCTATTCTGGGGCCCTCAGGTCTAAAAGGTTAGCCGCAAACTATTCTAGAATTACTAGGATCTCTGTGAAGGTTACGGAACTTCCTTCCCACCAATACTAAAATTGCGCTCGCACAATCCCATAAACTTTACCCCGAAGCATCCTTTTCCAGTGATGACCTGCGTCAGACGGTATGAGAGGGTCCTGTGATGCCAATCCGCCATAACGAGTCTTACCGCCGCAATAACGGCGTTCCTTCCACTCCTCCACGAGGACCTGTCGGAGTTGGGATTGCTGATCCTCGATTTCTCGAGTCTCAGGACTCCGATCCAACTGTCGCGCCTTCTTGCGCTACTGATACAGAGCCGCAAGGTCCGTTGGTGGAGCTACGGCAAAGGTGATCGAGCGGTACCCCTTATGACATTGATAGCCAGCACTCGCTGGAGTCGTCGCAATATGGGGACGTTGCTGGCCTTCATGGCCTACGCCCATACTGGGGCCCCCTAAACGGCCCTGGACCGCACAAACCCCGAGTAATGTCTCCTGCAGAAGTCATCGGGTCCTCTAATATTGGGCAGCGCACGCGCTGCCTCAACCTATTTCGGGGCCAGACCGTGACCAAATTAAATCGAAGTTATGGTTATCCTACTCCACAGATTACCCCCTTATAGATTCCGCATTATTGAATATAGGGGTAATCTGTCCCCTACTCGAACATTGTATGAGAAAACATATTTTTGTAAACTGTTCTGACTGTTTTTGTAAAATTAAATGTCATTTCAATGAGGTTAAAATGTGGAATAAATGGATTTTCACGCCAAAATCCTAGCAATTATTGATAATAAGATATCAGCCTACAAAGTCACGTTTCGTCTTCGCGGCCACTGAATTTGTCAAAATTTGTCGAAAGAAGAATTATAAGCTATAGATTAATATTTTACGAAATATTCACCTTCGAAGTATGGCCGTGCAATCGTACACTTGTTTTCTTTATTGTTCAGTATTTCTTTAAAACTTAAGACTTATACAGTAAAACTATTACAAGAAGAAAGGTCTTAATTTGTCAAAACTAATAAAAATAAATTTTTTACATAATATTTGATTCCAAACTAGGCAGAGCCTCTGCTATGGTAACCAGACTGCTGATAAGCATACTTATTTATTTCTAAATACATACATATTATAGATATAGTACACCCAGACACAGAACAAATGACCGTGATTATCACACAGTATTTGTCCTGGGTGGGAATCGAATCCACAACCTCTGGCGTAGCAGTCAGGGTCACTAACCATTTGGTCAACAAGCCAGTCAGTTTATGGTCTCAGCATCAATTAATCAGCTTATTGCAGTCCACTGCTGGACATAGACGTTTCTCAACGTGGCCATAGCCTTGGCAATCCATTCGGCTGAAATAATTACTAGGTATAATTTTACTCATGTCGATAGCAGTATGTCAAATTCGCCATCACTACTGTCAAATGATTCTGAACTTAAAGACAATACTCACAACTGTCCACGCTGACTGTATTGTTCTGAACACTTAATTAATTCATGAATTTATGGGAAAATATTAGTTTGTTAAAAATGGAGGTTCAAATCTTTTTATATTATTTTTCAGATACAAAGAAGGTCGCGTCATCCTTGAAAGAGCGCTTGTAACAGAAAGTGATGGTATTGAAGAAATTCAAGTTAATAACGACGACTAGACTTTTTTTGACTAATAAAGCAGGTTATGAAGCCCCAGAAAATAATTGTTAGTACCTAAATAATAGTGATTAACTTTCTGGAATGAATCCTAGAAACGTAATCGACTAATAATGACAATCTAAACGTGCATTGTAAACTAATTTAACACTATCAAATAAAAAGTACGATTTTATAAAATAGTTTTATTTATCTTCATAGTACGCTTAGATCTTTTAAACTAAGCAATGGATTTTAATGCGGTTTTCACCAACAGAGAGAGTGATTCAAGAAAAAGGTTTATATGTATAATGCATGCATATTATGGTAGAGAAAATTTCGAGAATTTTGTTTACATTGCAAACGCTGGCTAAATCTTAAGAGATAGGCCAAAATAATGTACTACGGCATTATATATCTTAAAAAGATCTCCAAAAAAGTTCGCGATAGTATAATTATGTTTATCACCTAAGGATAACTCACAGTAACCATTTTTATCTTTTTACATATTATAAAAAAAAAGGGTAATTTACAACGCTATTTTGAACAATACCCACATTATTGTTCCTTATCCAAATAAGTACGTTAGATACGTTGTGCATTTAATGTAGGTCAAAATTGCCTTTTGTAACATATCATTAAAGTAAACATCTTAGTAGATATCAGAGATTTAAAATGAACTCGGAACTGACACCACATTAGTAGTAGTAGTATCTACATTGCACCCGTGCCGGGGCGGATCGGATTATTTTTAACATCTTTTATTGATGCTCGGTTCCTATTAGTCGTAGCGTGATGTTACGCTGTTGACACAAAGATTTTTTTATTCGAACCAGTAGTTCTTCAAATTAGCACGTTAAACCTAACAAACCAACTCTTCAGCTTTATAATATTAGTAGGTATAGATTGACAAAAGCGTAATTCTTTAGAATCTTATTTTAACTAAAGATTTCCTGGCGCACGAATTTCCACTGTTTTGGATATCTTATTTCATAAACCAGTGTAACTTAACCGTTATTGGACATATACAGATTCACTTCCGCCGTTATTACAAGATTAACTTAATAGCACATGTTTTAAATTATAGCTTTGCTTCTTCCACATGCACCTAAATATTAAATTGGCCAAATATGATAAACTTCCTTGCGCCACATTTCTTTTAAAAGAGATAGGGGCAACGAAATATTCTGATTATAAAATCATACATACACATACCAGTCTACATTGTGTCTGGGTGTAATTTGTCTATAATATGTATATATTTAGAAATATATAAGTATGTTTATCAGCAGTCTGGTTACCATAGTACAGGCTCTGCCGAGTCTGGGATCAGACAGCCGTGTGTGAGATTATTATTATTGCCGGATTATGGAGAATTGTGCGGTGTAAAAGATTGTATCGTTTCCACGTAACCACCTATGTGTTGCGCTTTCTAGGATCAGATGTTATATTCTGGTTCATGGAGACAAATATTACACTGGTCAACAAATAAAAAAAATAGTACAGAGATAGCTTTAATTTTTTTTATTCTTTATCATCAGTCACTGCACGCCACTTTAATCGGTTCTCGGCTTTCTTAGTAAGTTACTAAATTTACAAAAAAAAAAAAATCCTACGTATAGTTTTGGATTTAACCTCAGTTTTGAATATTAGCTGTTATCTACACTTTCATGCGCTCGGGTTGCTAACTTATCGGTACATTTCTAAAAATAATTATAATATAATGTCTTCATCGCGAAGAAGTTCATTTTCTCGTCTCAAATACCGCAGTGTCTCAAGAATAAAGTCTTTGACCAATGTGTGTTGCCACTTGCCAGTGATGACTTATGGCACAGAGACGTGGGCGCACTCATAGTGGGCCCCATAAAAAGGCTCTAAGCTCAAAAAGCAATGGAGGGCATTGCTCGAAGTTTTTCTGCGTGATCGAAAAAAGAATGAGGAGATACGCAGACGAACCAAGGTCACCGAAATGCCCGGAGAATACTACGGAAATACATTTTATGGCATTTATGAGATCGAGAGTAGATCGGTACTGAGTTGTGATCTTTTGTTTATCTGTGTGGTGACGGATTAAGAAGACGGAATGTCACCACCCCCATTTAAACCGTGGGTGTCGTAAGAGCCGACTTAGGGAGCAAACTACGCAGGACAACAGCACTGCAAAGAGAAGGAAAACTTGAAACAAACCCTTTTTTTTTTTTTTTTAACGTGTGGAAATCCCCTCGGACCGTCACCCCTCCGGGGTTTGCGGCGGGGTGGTGTGTCGGACTCGGACCGACTAAAAACAACACGGTGTGCCACTCTGCGCCTGTAACAGGAGGGATCCGGGAACAGCTGTTGTTAAGACATCCGGACCCCTCCTAGCGCCAGCCCGCTCCTGGTGCGGGCTCCGTCTCAATGTTTTTCCTCTCTTTAGGCGACGTCCGGCACACGCGGACGCCGCCCCCTCGCGGCTGGCCAAACTAATGCGGGTGGAGGGGAAACCCACCCCGTCCACCCGCGGCCACACTCAGGGCGGCATGAGGCTGTGATAGGCGGGCCTCCGCCACCCGGTTCGCCGGCGGCGGATCGGGTCCGAGTGGAGGTCGTCCTCCCGGGCCCTCTCCGCCCCCTTTTTCCGCGAGATTACTACCGCAGAAGGTTGCGACCGCGGTAAAACAACTGTCGCTACCGGCCATGGAGCGTACTACGGCCGGTAGCGAGAGATCCACTCCGATGACTGCAGTGAGGGCCCGGCGCTGCGCCGCCCATGCGGGGCAGACCGCCAGCGTGTGCTGGGCCGTGTCCTCACTGCAGTCGCAGTGGTGGCAGGCGGGACTCAGTTCCCTCCTAGCGACCGAGTGCAGGTACTTTCCGAAGCAACCGTGCCCGGAAAGCACCTGCGTCAGCCGGAAGGAAAGGGTCCCGTGCTGCCGCCCTGCCCACTCGGCGATGACCGGCTGGAGAGCCTCCACGGCGGCGAAGCCAGCGCGTGGAGTCTCCAGCCGGAACGACCAACGAGCCATCGTGGCTCGGCGAGCGGCTTCGCGCCACTCGCGCACATCCTCGGGCGGAGGGCGAAATCCGCTCTCCGCCCGGGAGTCAGCCACTCGCCGATAAACTTCGGCGAGCACTTCCGCCTCCAAATCCCACGGGGGAGTTCCGGCCAACGCGCATGCCACCTCCGTCGAAACGGTGCGGTAACCGCGTATGGCTCTGACCGCCATTACCCTCTGAGGGCGCCAGAGGCGTACCCTATTCTGCGCGGTCAGAGCCGCCGCCCACACCGGTGCACCGTACAGTGCCATTGACCGGACAACCCCCGTGTACAGCCGTCTTGTCGCGACGCTGGGTCCACCCATATTGGGCAAAAGTCGCCCTAGGGCAGACGCAGCGCCGACCAGCTTTGGAGCAAGCTGTCGGAAGTGCTCGTCGAAGAGCGACCTCCCGTCGAGGATCAGGCCCAGATATTTTATCTGGGCCCGAACCGGTACGAGGACCGAGTTGACCACGATTGAGGCGCCAGGGGATGGACCACGACGGGGCCCATGAAATAACAGGGCCTCCGTCTTATCTAGGGCCACCCGTAAGCCCAGCGCCTCAATGCGCCCGACCACCAGGGAGACTCCCCCTGTGGCCAGGCGCGCCGCCTCTTGGAAGTTTGCCCCCCGGGCTGTCACCAGGGTATCGTCTGCGTAACAGATTACACCCAGCCCGGGGGAGAAATCGGCGCGAAGGGCCCAGTCGTACCCTATGTTCCAAGAACAGACCCCTGTGGAACAACGCACGACATGGGCCGACACCTCAAATTACCATCTCGGTCCTCGTACACGACGGTACGCTCCTCTAAATAGTCTGCCACTAGCCGCCTCAGGTACTTTGGCACCCCATGATAGTGGAGTGCTTCCCTGATGCAGCTGAATGGCAGACTATTGAATGCGTTGGCGATGTCCAATGACACCGCCAACAGCACGCCGCCACAGCTCACGGCCTCTTCGGTCACGGCCCTCAGGCGCAACACGGCGTCGACTGTCGAACGCCCCGCCCGAAAACCAAATTGGGCGTCCGACAGATCGGGGCCCACCTCGTAGAGGTGCCGGACGATGCGCGCAGAGAGAACCCTCTCAAACAATTTACCCGCCTCGTCCAGCAGCACGATGGGCCTGTAGGCCGCGACCGAATCGGCAGGCCGTTCCGGCTTCCTTTATAGGACCAGCTTCTTTTTAAATACACTAAGCTAAGGTACTCTTACAGCATCGTAACAATTTTCCTAAAGCACTTTTATAAACACACTTAAAATTGAAGTAAGTGTCGAACACCAATGCTATCTATTACCTACATATGTATACTGAGTTTAGATTGAGAATAAAAGATTTATTATAAATGTATTCCACGTTAAATATATAAGCAAGTCCAAAAAACCTACCTTTTGAGCAAGAAATCATACCTTTTTATCTACACTCACGCGGCGCCGCCCGCGAATCACAACTAACTTCTTGCTAGACTTGACAAAGGATGCTTCGACTGCCATAGATATTATTTTAAAGCGCGGGAGTTTTCAAAAATTACGGTAGACCTAGGTACAATACTGTCCAACGTTCCCCTACTTGTCTAAAATTCATACTCATAGGACTTCAAGTCGTTTCAACTTTCCATTAAGTATCTCACTTTTTAACAATCTTCTTTTAACAGCATTTTCGGCGTTCAGCCCTATAGAATTCTTATCGATTCACCTCCTCCGAAGGGCACAGCAGGTAAATTATCGACTAATATTCCTAGATTGAAAGGTAGAAATACAAACACAATTGCGCAGTTCGTATCACATTTTATTGATAATATAATAGAATAAAACACAACATATATTTTTATCCGCCGATAAAACTTTTTTCCACTACCTCAACGCGATTACTTTAGCACGTTTACAAATGGAATAATAGTTTAAATAAAACGCCAACAATATATTAAAATAGCTTTGAACGATTCAAGCAGTGATAACAATGTATCATATTTTTATATTTTAAATCGCGTACTTATTATTTTGAAG